CAAGTGTGTCAGTATCTTGTTATGCCATTTTTTGTGGCAATGCTTCTTGCCTTAGTTCCTGGTCTCCTGCAGTTTTCTTTGCTTTTATTTCTCCTTGAGAACCTATTGTTCTCTTTCTTATCCTGTTGTCACTCTTTTGATGGCTTATGCCTAGGAGTCTTGTGTGTTTAAATGTTCCATTATTAGGTTGTATGGACATATTCATTTTTTTCCTTCATTTCTCGGAAGGTTCATTTATGAAAGAATTAATCATGGAGTATGATTTCTTCTGCTTATTGAATCATACTCATCACCTGAGCATATGGAATATGTTCCTGTCTTATTGGAAGCATGTTACCTGTGGTACCAACAAAGAGCATGCTTGCGCCAGTTTAGTGACTCTTGTGTTCTGTAATTTATTTCTTTTTAATGTGATGTTTGCACATGGTGGTGCATGTGCAATGTTTAATGTGCCACATTTTTAATGTAGCTCTGGCACATGAGTGCATGAACTATATATATCCTTGAAGCGTACAACTAGCATTCCTTTTCTAAAAACAGATTTGTTTAAAATAAGCCAAAGTTTGAATTATTCATGAATATTTTTGCATCTTTCACCAAGCGTAGGAGGAAGAGTGTTGATGTACAACTATTTTCAGCTCCTGCTGAAGATTCTGCTTTTCACTAAAAAGTTATTTATATATTCTAAGTAGTTTTAAACAAGATTAAAGGTCATCTTAGTACCTTTTGATGTGACAATGTTATCTTGATAAAATTGTGTATTGTTTACTTAATTGTAATACAATATTGTATTGTCCTTATTACGACAATGTTGTAAATATCTTGTGGTGTGTCCTATTTCAGATTCTTGAGGTACCAAGTCTCTTGGAGGAAGGTTCTTCAGTTGTCAAGAGGAACTCTCTGAAACAGAAGCACGAGAACAAAGCAAAAAATGGAGGATGCTGTCAGTAGTTCCGGTTGCTGTATGCGAGCTCATGATGCTTAGACCTAGCATGTTCTTGTGTACTGATGTAAATGATTTGTACCTAAATGCTTGTTGGTGTAGCTGATGCGAGTTAAGAAGGAAATAACCACACGAAGTTTTTGGTGCGAACACTGGGAATTGATTTGTACAAAAGAAAAAGTTCTCCCTTCTAACTTCCTTCAGGTAGCAGTTTGGTGTGCTGAATGTGCCAGGATCATGTCGACTAGTCTTGTTTTCTGGAAATGTACATGTAATGGGATCCTGACAATTTGTCTTGCATATGGTGGAAGTATATATCTGGTGCATAATTCTGAATGATCTGTGTACAAAAGAAAAGGCGTATATCAGGAGCATATGGTGGAAGTGTCATTAACTTATCATGCAGGTAACAATTATTATCAACGAAGCTCTGTGACACTCTGTTAAACTGAATCAGTTGAATTATTCCAGATCTCACAGTAGTTTTCAGCTTGGACCTACAATGCCTGTGTCATTGACACATACTAATATTTTGCCAGATTATGTTTCTGTAGCAAGAAAGCTGAACCAGATGCTCACAAGGGGTTTGCATGTGCATGCGCCTGATAATTTGCTTAAACTCTTTTGCTCTCACTCTATTGTGCGCGCGGTGACTGCTTCCTGCGAACACTGAGGAGACAGTCATGATGAGCATGGGCTCCCAGATGAATGCATGTGAATGTGTGATGCATGCAGCCATGGAAAAGATGATCCCGCATATATCCGTGAGCGGATCAGATCTTCTCATAGGGATACCATAAAAAAGGGCACGGTTGTACGTACCTTTCATTTGTGCAACTAAGCAGCTTTCAGCGGAAGAAAAAGACAGTACAATCATTTCACAGGAAGGGGAACAAAACTGTACTCTTAGTATTTACCAGCGTCACAAGGAGGCATGTGTCATTACAGTTTAGTCCAAACATAGGCAACCATGCATACTTGCATAGGCAAAAACATTCAGGAGAGAGTTCAGTGTTGGCAAATGACAAGCAAAACGTTGTCCTCAGTCGCTAACACGGTGGCCTTGTAGTGGCGCCACAATTCTGCTATTTTTGGGCTAGCCATTCACGCAAGACCGCAAGATGACGACGCAGCTAGCTAGGCAGAGCAACCAAACCGAAGGGACAAGAAAGATCCAATCTAGGTGCTACCCTCATGGCAAGCCACAAGCGGTCAAGCGCAGGAGAAAGGCCATCACGTGTATGTACCGGCAAAACGAACAGTGACATGGTGGATGACAGTATAAACCACCACCACGGCACCACATCCTCCGTTACGTTCTACTCCTACGTCAGGTTCAGATTTCACCGGGAGAACCAAAGCCAGTGCAGGACACCAACCCCCGGGTGTCCGGAGTAGGCAGCAAACATTATGGCGACATTCTTGCTTTCTCGGCGCGCAGCCTCGCACACTGATCACCTCTCCCCTTCTCCGCGAATGGATTGAGCCAAACACGAGCGCCATGGGCCACGACCACGCTGGTTTTTCTCATAATTTCGTCAGGTGCATGGCACGGCCGCTCGCACGGGCTCCACCTCCACCCATCCATCCATCCAGCGGTGCATAGCCGAGTTTGGGGGTACATGTCATGTGACGAAGACGGTATCCGATGAACAGTGTGCCATAACAAGCAGTAGAAAGTTTGTCTGGCTTGCTACTACTCTACTAATCTATGGAGTATTTCACAGGCATTTGATGCGAGTGAGCATCAGGCGAGCCGACAAGATCATCGTGCAATCAGGTCGAGAGGGATGGGGCGTACGGCTCCATTTCTAGATATTTCAGAAACATGACAAAAAACCCATTAATTGTATTATCGATAGTAACTTTCAGTCTTTCATGAGGGAATTAATGGCTGCGAGTACCTTCACTAGTTGCGTGTAGTTATCTGGCAATAAGTTCATTAGCTAGCGACATCCTTCTCTCCACTGAGAAGAGACAAGGCATGCCAATAAAATTCCTATTTGGAATTACCGCTGCGATTAAACATGTCTGAATTCTACGGTTCTAGCACATATGCTTACTTCATCCGTCCAAAATAAAAAAAATTAATCTAGAAGAAGATATGATGACCAGATTGTTGTCTTAAGAGAAGTGGTTGAGTTTTTTTTTTTTTTTTGGAGAGAGGGAAGTACGAGCTAATGCAGACAACATGTGAGGTCCGTGTCACCTATCTATCGCGAAGCATCAACCACGAATTAACGTGGAGACAACGGGGCTTGGCACTGCTGGTTGCACGTATCGTCAACGAAAAGCTGAAAAAGAGGCGATCCAGTAGGTTCCGGAGGCCAAAGCGGCGGATCGTCCAAGCAATTCTTGTTCTTGCCATAAACACATGCTCTTGGTTTCGTTGCGCCAACTTTGTGTAGACTAATCATTCCTTTGTCTCGGGGTAAGGATAATTTATGTTGTTGATTCTTAGCTATATTAGCTCACACCAAACACATTACTGGGGTCCTAATCAAGACTCAAGAGACAAGCTAGGCGAGGACGACGGCTTGAAAACAAGATAATGCTAAGCTACAGACCATATGATTGATGTGGTCCATGTACACTTTAATGGCTTAAAAATATCCAGAGATGAATGGTATCAGAGCATCGTTCTTCTGAAGATTCGAACGAAGTAGTAGCAGTTTGCAACTTTGCACTGTTAGTTCAGAGCATTGACTGAATTACAGCAGAACAGAGCCAAGTGAATGTGAAAAATAACACTTGCAGTAAAACGGATTCATGCGGCAATCACGTTAATAACTGGACAGTCAACATCACCATACTAGCTTGATTGCATCATCAACAGAAACGAAGATGCTACTTATAAAAAAGAAAGAAAAAAAAGGAGAGGAGAAGATAGAGGAAGACAAGAGAAGGAGACGGTGATGTGTAGGCGTCGTCTGTCTCAAGAGTTAGTGGTGGGCCGGACGTCAGGGCGTCAGGCTGGCAGGGAGAGGCACGGGGCCTCTGGACGCATTGCCAGCGACACGCATAGGGCCGTTTTGGATCAGTGTCAAAACGGTGCCCTACCAATATTTTGGTAGTTTAAATAGTGTATATGGTGGTTTTGGTTTGAAGCCAAAGCTTATTCTAGTTTGATATTTTCTATACTCTACTCAAAGCTTATTCTAAATTGGTCTCCAACCAAATATAACTCTACCCTATAAAAAAAAAAATTAGTAGTGCCAAAACTTACCTAGATTTTGGCACTACCAATATTTTGGTAGGGTATTAAACCAAACAAACCCATAGTCGCCCGGACTTTCATCAGCCCCTGCGCCTTTGTTGGTAGTAGTAGGTACAGTACATTCCACGGTGGACAAAAACTAAAAACTCAACATGATGGGATGGGAGTGATAGCTACGTACACTATTGAATAGTTTCTCATGGTCTTGGACTTGGAGTGATTTGCTCTCAACAGTAGAGAGTTGTTGGTTCACCAATTACCAACTGTAATAACTAGGACTGACCACAAGTAGAATGACACCGTACGAGTAGCTGCGAAATTACGCATCGACATGGCAAGTATCTGTGCCAACTTTGCATCGATGAGATCGGATCAGAAACAGTATGCCAAACCAACCCCACCCAACCCACGCGAGAACCGTGGACCACGACCCCATTTACACGCGCCGTCGACCGCATCTCATCTCATCTCACCGTTGGATCGCGCGCGCGAGAGAGAGAGACGCCTTGGAACGGAGCCGCGCGCCGCGCATGCACATGGTGCGCGCGCGCGCGTCTCGACTCCGTCCCAATCGATCGATCGATCGCGCGAGCCGCCGTCCAGGCCCCGACAGCCACAGCGCGGCCTTATCTCCACTGCTCCCCCACTCCGACGTGGCGCGCGTACCATACCATTCGTCGTTACGCGCGGCCGCATTATTGGGATGATGCAACTCTGCAAGCTACGGGCCCTCGGGTCTTGAAATTAACCGCACGGATTGGATTCGAGAAGATTTTAAAACTTTTCAAACAAGCAAACGAGTCGTACGTAGTGCGGTACTGGTTGCGAATAGCGATCGAATTTGACTAGGAAAAAACGAAGGAACTCAGGCAAATGCATGCACAGTTTTACAGAAGCAAAGCAACGGGTTCCCAAAGGTCCACACTTACAGTACGTTCAACGTACAACTGATCCAAGCAAATGAAACAGGTTTGATGATGCACTGATGCGAGAAACTAAACGGTTGGATCGGAGTCGGAGACGAGGCGATCATGGACAAGCGGCGGCGGCGGCGATGAGCTTAGTAGTCGGTGGTGGGGAGCTGCTCGTGGGTGTGGGAGATGAAGAGGACCTCGTAGATGACGCCGGCGAGGCCACCGCCGATGAGTGGGCCAACCCAGTACACCCACTGGGACTCCCAGGACCAGCTGACGAGGGCCGGGCCGAAGGAGACGGCCGGGTTCATGGAGGCGCCGTCGAACGCGCCGCCGACGAGGATGTTCGCGCCGACGATGAAGCCGATGGCGATGGGGGCGATGGTGCCGAGGCTGCCCTTCTTGGGGTCAACGGCGGTGGCGTACACGGTGTAGACGAGGCCGAAGGTCATGACGATCTCCAGCACCAGGGCCTCCCACACGGAGACGCCGGTCAGGCCGAAGGTGCCGGTGGCGAGCCCGCCGGTGGAGAAGCGGAGGAGGAAGCACGCCACGGTGGAGCCCAGGAGCTGGGCGATCCAGTAGAGGAGGCCGCGGAACAGGGTGATGTTGCCGCCGACGAAGGCGCCGAAGGTCACGGCCGGGTTCACGTGGCCGCCGGAGATGTTGGCGCCGACGGACACCGCCACGAACAGGGCGAAGGCGTGGGCCACCGCCGCCGCGATCAGCCCGGCGGGGGTCGTCGCTCCGCCGCCGGTCAGCTTGCCTGCGTACGCGCATGACAGTTAGGTACACGTAAGAAGAATTCAGAGATCGAAATGGTAATTTAATTTTGTGGATTTGCTTATGATTTCTCGTTTGTGTTCTTCTTTTGGTCATGTTACTGATTGTATTACTCTTTTGCTTAACTAAGCTAGTGGATTTTGCTACTCTGAAAAAAATATATATTATTTTAACCTTCAGTATTTCGTTGTAAAATAATATGTTTGAGCAATTGCTAAGCTATGGAGTTTGGAAACAATTTATGCTCCTAATTCTAATTAACCATATTATTTTGTCTGAAAAGTTTTTTTTTTGCTTCTAGTTCTTGGCACAAGCACATGGTCTGTGACTGCCACATCATTGACTGAAACAGAACTACTGAGATCCCTTCGTCCACGTAATCAGTAAGGGCAAACCGGTCATTTGGGCCCAATCATGCAACCTAAAAGCCATACCACTTTTTATTTCACGAACTTTTGACTTTTTCTCAAAAGAAAATTTTCTTTCAACTTAATTATCATAGCACGGCGTCTAGTTTCTCTCACTCCTGCAAGGACGGAGAGAAAAAAGTTTTGTATATCTTCCCAAACTTTTTTCTCCCCCACATGTCTTGTGTTATTTTGAGGGATTAATTCATGCGTTGCTAAACTAGTCCACAATTAAGTCCTGGACTTTGTAGTATCATCATAGTATATGGAGTGGATTTGCAGTGGCAGTGACAACACACAAGGTGGTTAAAATTAAGGTCGGCGACTTACTGAAGGCCATGCCGGAGCCCTGGCCGGCGAAGACGAAGATGAGGGTGGAGATGAACTCGGCCAACGCCGCCTTGAGTGCACCCGGGTGGTACACCTCCTGGTGGCTCCCCACGGCGATGTTGCGGATCGGCATCTTGCACTACTCCCTTCTGCTGCTCTCTCACTCAAACTAGAAGAGCTCAGAAATGGAGTGGTGTGTGTGTGGCTGCCTGTGTGGTGCGGAGACGGGACGGGAGAGAGGCCGGTATATATACACCCAGCGCAGCGCATGCACGAGAGACACCGGGTGTGGCCGGTGGCGAGTTGGCAACACATGGGGATATTTTTTTTTTCTTTTCTTGTTTCTCTCGCTTTCTCTTTCGAGTGAGTCACGAATGTGATCGTGTGAGGCTGTGCTCACCCCTCCGGATTTGCCATATTACGGTTATCGGTGAAGTTTCTAGAGATCAGTAGGGTGTGGTTTGTGATTTTGGAAAATTAGCCGGGTACTTGTGCGTATAGCAAGCTGGTAGGTGCTGGTTTTGGGGATTAATGAACGACATGATGGATAAGGATATGATAGAATTGAATACAAGCTCTCAGATGAAAATATGGAAAAAAAAAATTAAAACTTGACCTGTTCTGTGTCACAGCTAATGGAGCTACGTAATAAAACACTGGGGATGAACCGTGAGTAGCACTACCGAATGTTTATTCAGGCAGGCTGCTAAGCTCGAAATTAAGCTAGCACCAGTGATCAAAGTCGACGATTTGTTGTCCAGTCCTCGGCATCATCTGTGCTTGTTTTCCTTGCAACATGCTAAGGACGTGTATGGTCTGTTGCAGTGTTGTTGAAGCTTTTTTTTTCACGAACGCGCAAAAAGATTACACGTCAATATATTAGAAGAAAAGAATTTAATTTACACGACGCAATCAGCTAGACCGGCTTATGCTAGGGGAGAGAGAAAAAACAAAAATAGAAAACTGAAAAAAGAAAGTGTTGTTGAAGCAAACACTACTGAATTTTTACAATCAAGATATGGATATCTGTAACAAATTTTGTCGTCAGTCTCACGCAGAGCTCCGTTAAACAACACGATAACACGATCATCGCTTGGTATTACTCTCCCTCCGGTTCCATATTAATTGAGATCAAACTTTTATAATTTTGACCATCAATAACTTTAAAAATATTTAGTTTAAAGGAATTAGAACATCATATATAGATTTGTCTTTCAATGCAATGTAATAAAAGTAAACATGCTTTTATTTATCTATTATGTAATTAAAGGAATAGAAAAAAGAGACTCTATGTTCGCTCTCATGGCCTAGAAATTCTCACATTAATCGGAGAAAAAGAAAAAGCAGAGTCTATATAAAAATACAATTTAGAAATAGCTGAAATTCAGAATTAAAAAATAAGAAATATTAGAAGAGTAGACTAGAGTAGTTATTACACATTAGTAGTTTTGAAAAGTTATTGCAAAATTTAAAATTATGTTGTCATTGTAATATATTTTAATAATATAATGAGAAAACATATATGCTATTATATGAGAGAAAATATAATGATGCTAGCCGCACAATCTGCGTGGGCCACCATGCTAGTTATATATATTATAATAGAAAAATAAGATCAAAGACATATTTTATAGACCGTGTTATTATCTAAAACGTCAATTAAAATAAAACTGGAGGGAGTAAGCCGTTAAACAACACGATCACACGAGCGTCACTTGGTAATCAAGCTCGGATTGTGAGGGGGGAGGCGACAGCAACCGGGGGGCGGGCGGCTTGCCAGCTCAGCCACGCCGGCCGAGGAGCTGTCAGCGAGCCACGTGTGCGGGGGAGGCAGGCCTCGTGGCCCGTGTGGATTCGGAGGCTGGGCGACGTGACGTCTCACCACAAATCCCTCGGGATTGGCTGATGGGTTCTTTTGTCCCGGCAGCGGGAAGTGATCTGGGATTGGCTGCGTTGCTCCGGGGCGGCGAGGTAGACTGATTGCTGATTACGGCCGTCGCTTCTACGGCTAGCGTTTAGGGATTAACGTGTTCTCCACTATTCTTTTTTTGTCTCTGCCGTGATTGATAAGTGCAGGGTGATGCTTCTAGCGACTTCGTCAGAATTATTTTCTCAATATTTAACCACAAAAGTTTGATGGTTATCCTCAAGAAAAAATCAGGGGTAACACATTCATCTAGAAATCCAAGGGGTAGTATATGTCGTGAGAACTTTTAAGGTATAATATACTACTGTAAGTATACATAATTTAACGGTGTATACTGATTTGAATTTTTTAGTTAATTAGATTGCAATATAAAATTTGAAAGGGTAATAAATTGTGCTATCATCACGTGTTTCGTCATCAAATGCGCTCAGGATACTCCTACCATAATGCACGATAAGATCTAGGACTAAGTACTCTCAATTACAGTCAATTTGAACCCAAAATTACTAAAGTGTATTTTAAATTTTCTATCAAATTTCTAATAAGTCCTTCTAAATACTGCCAGTATATATTGGTAGTATATCGTACCGTAAAATTTCTATATGTCACACGCTCTCATAGTCTTGTTATTTTACCTGAAGTGGCAACATCGAGATGGTATTAACGTCATTCTTGGACGGTCGAAAGAGGACACGGTTAACCCATTTCTCCTTTTGTTCTTCTTGAAATGCAAACCCTTGGCAGTAGTAGCAACATTCATCCATCCATGACCATTTGGATTCCACTCCGGAGTTAACAATTCCTGAAGGAGCGGCTACGCAAATTTTAATTCGAACAGTGTCATCACCCTCGACAAAAACAATCATCCGGCCCATATATTTTTAGGAGTAGCTATATTTATAGCGCCATAATTTTCACAAAAAATAGTCACCATATATTTACATTGTAAGTCCCTAAATTACATATGTAATTTTAGTGTATTTACAATGTAAGTTTCAAAATTACATATGTAAGTCTCTAAATTATATATGTAAGTTGAATGTAATTACAATGTAAGTGCAAGACAACGTCTATATTTTGCATTGTAGATTACATATATTTATATACTATATACATATACATATGAGTAGAACCATCAAAAGCTTAAACTAATGAAGCATGTTAAGTTTTAATTAATCGTGTAATGACAGCAGAGAAATACTAAGGACCTGAGTGGACTGAACAACATCTGACGGGTCAGAAATTTGAGTAATCAGCCATAAAATATGGCGACATCATTTTAGCAAATCCGTATATTTTTTCTCTCCATACGTCGGTTCGTACGATGGTGACACGTCAGCCACTCAGAGCTGCTCGTTTCTCGGCGCGCCACGTCAGATGCTGTGCTGCACGAGAGCACCCCCCCCAGCCAATAATTGGGTGACAGCTACGGCTGAAATTACCGTCCTGCCCCTCGGGTTCTCGAAGAATCCACTCACACTCACTACGACGTGATACATGCGCCGGAGAACCAATTAGTCCACACTAACCTCCAGGATTAGGAGAACCACTAATTACACAACTATTATCCGCGTGATTATATTAAGAGGAGGGCTCACCCTATCCACATGATTTGTTTTTCATACAGCAGCTGGCTCCACCATTTGCAAAACCTTTTGTTCTTTAATTTCTTACTATCTGCCTCCGTGTTCTTGCCGTTTGCAACCCAGTCACATGCATGCATCAACATGTTACTACGAGAAGAGATCGATCGATTGATCACGAGATATTTATCCACAATAGGAGAGGGATGCACGGATGACTTGATGTAATTTTAGCACATGTAGTTTGGAATTTTGGAACTAATACGTGCTCGAGATCTGATCCAATTCTTCCTAATTACTACCTCCGTTGACCATTCGTTTTATTTAAAAAATTAGTACAAATATTAAAAAAGATAAATCATACTACTTTTGATAATAAAACAAGTCATAGTTAAACTAAATAATAATTCTAAAATATTTTAAATAAAACGAATAATCAAATATTAAAAAAAGTCAAAACGATCGGTAATATAGGACGAAGGTAGTAGAGTTTACTCCTACTCAGTACATATTAAGATAAGATCATGTTGTCATTACCGGTAAACTCTGGCTTCGCCTTGCATGTGATGGGGCCTAGCTTGACTTGCCCCTGGAGAGAACTGTATGATCTCTGCAATACGATCGAACTGTTTGCATTGCAATGCACATGTGTATGCGAGAAAAGTACTTCTTAGTTATCACCTGATCCAATCACAAATTGGTGATAAAATGAAGTGGATGGATCTAATCTAAGTCGTTGCCTTGCTGGATGAGGATTTCATTAATTGCGTGGATCAATTTGTTCGCGCGAGCTTTGATCTGATAGGGAAAGATATTTTTGTATATCATTAAGTGTATTTAAAATACCTTGGAGAAACTTGAATGTGCGACAATTTCCGCGAATTATGAGCTGGCTAGTGCTCTTGGTCAAATATTTGGATGTGCTTCTGAGCTGGAGAACTTAGCTTGTTTAGTTAAGACATAACAATTCAAGGCAATTTGGTTAGGTGGCACTATCCTATACTTAAGCCAGACTAAATTAAGCATTGTTTCCATAAATATGTCGCCATCAATTAAAGAAAATGGAGTAGGCATTGCCCTTTTCCCTATAAGAATTTATAAATAAGCAATGCATATTTTTGTACCTGTTCTTAAATGAAAACAAAAGTATCCATAAGGCATAAACCACAAAATGCCATCTCTTTGCCACCTGCTTCTTCAGACCGGGTTTCTTGCCGATCTTCTTCGCCATTTTTCTGATGACAAGTAGTACTTGACTACCTTTTCCATCTAATACATTTTTTTTCTGGAAGGGTGGCCGTTTTTCATTTTTTTTTAAAAAAAAAATTCCGGGCTACAAATACCAAGCTTTGATTCTTTTTCCCATTTTTAGAGAAAACATTGAGCACTGATGATTTTGCCGTTTAGACTTTGACGTCTCCTCTCTTTGATACGGCCCATTCAGATCGAAGATGAGTACTCCAGCACGGCCCACATATGACACTTCCTGGGCTTGCTATCTCCGTGTCCATCCACGCACTTACGGGGACGCTTAATGCGTGACTGACGGCAGGCGCGCGACGCCCCCAGTACTACTGCTACTAGTAGTACACTAGGAACCAGTTATTCCCTCCATCTAATTTTAATAGTTATATTTCTAAATTTAAAAAATTTAATTTAGATAGTCATATTTCAATCTAACAACCTATACTCTTAATGACTTTTTCGGATTTAATACATGACTCTCTATTCTTCCACACAAGATTGGCTACATGGGCATCGAAAAATGTAAATTTTAATGAATCGCTTGTTTACGAGATATAACTATTAGCATGTTTAAATGGATGATAAATAGAATTACTTATCCTTGGTCTGTGTGCCAAGATAAAATATGACTATAAAAAGTAAATGGATGGAGTATTTACTACCAGTATTACTACTAGTAGTACTACTACACTATTACTACTAATACTACTATACTACTACTATAAACAAATATATATTTTTGTTGTATAAAAAATATACACATATACAAACTTTGTATATGATGTGTATAAACTTTGTATACGATGTGTACAAACTATGATGTATACAAACTTTGTGTACTATTTGTGCAAACTTTATATACGTAAATGTTAAAAAATCGAAAAAACCAAAAAACACATCACGTGTATACGTATACAAGTATACAAACTTCATATACATACGCATACAAAGTTTGTATATATGTATGCAAACTTTATATACAGCGTATACAAAGTTTTTATATATACATATACAAACTTTGTATACACGTATATAAACTTTGTATAACGTATAAAAAATATGTATACGTATATGTTTAAAAAAATAAAAAAATGAAAAGAAAAAACCAAAAAAAGAAACCTAAAATGAAAACCGCAAAAACGGAAAGAAAAAATGAAACAGGAAAAAAAAAGAGTAAATTGAATCGTCAGTACACGAACTTGTCAGGTGGATGCAATCTAGTGCACAAACTTGTAAAATGCTTGTTTTGGTGCATGAACTTGTGTGGTGCGTGCGGGGAAGTCAAAAAGGACACTATATGACTAATCCTATTGATTTAGGGGGTGATTAGGATGCTATGTAAACATACATACATACATACATACATACATACATACATACATACATACATATATATATACACACACACATACATACATATATATATATGTATGTATATATGTATATATATGAGAAGGTTGACACTAGACTTACACCTATTCAATAAAATATAGAATAGGATTTAGTGATAGTAGAAAAAGATTAAAAATATCGAGCACTGATATAAGGGTTAGAAACATATAAAATTCATCATTTCAATGATGAAGGATAAAGTAGAGACTAAATTTATAAATATTGCATGTCTTATACATACTCGCTACAGGTATACACGTCGCATCCTAACCAACATTAACTTCATAAAATTGACATTACCAAGTTATTTTGGTCATCGTTCGTACGAACTAGACAAGTTCGTGTACTGAAATGAGCATTTTACAAGTTTATATACTAAATTGCACCCACCTAACAAGTTTGTGTACCACCAATGTAATTTACTCAAAAAAAAAAGAAAAGGAAAAAAAACCGCGCGGGCCCCACCCTGTGCACGCGCTGCCGCCGCGGCCCTCTCCGCGCGCGCCACGTTCCTCGCCGCGCGGGAGGACGTGCGTGCGGCTAGTCGCGCATTAGCAGTTTCGCTTACGCATCGGCCTCGGTGGTTTGCCACATTTGTTAAGGCTTTCGAAGTGGGTTGGGCCATAATGCTTCGTCCTCTGACCTCGTCTGCACCGGTCGGACAAGCCCAATAAATTTCAGACCGTCAGCCCATCACCCTCGCCGTAAGCCTGTGTAGGCTCGCTCTTTCCCTCCTCCCTGCCACAATAGAATCCCAGAAATTGCCCGTTTAAAAAGCAAAATGTATTGGTCCGTTGTAAAGGAAAACTGGAGTACTAGTATCTAGTTTGAATTCAAATCTCAAAAATAAATAGTAAATTGAACAAAGCGAAAATGGACCGACAAGACTTGTTCCTGGCAATAAAAATTGACAGCGGCCAACGGAGATTCTCACTCGAGGAGGCAGGAAGATCCCATTAACCCCGCGATTTTTCTTCATTCCTTTTGAACTCCGTACACCGTAGTGGCGATTTCAAAATTCAAAACCTCCCTCCCCTCAACGTTCCGATTCCAAACGCAAATCCAGCCCACGCCACGCCGCCGATTATTCCGCTGGCGATCGGCAACGACTCCTTGCCCTATCCGCCGCGCGCGATCCAGACAGTCCATGTCTGATCCAACGGCCGCGCCGATCCGGCTCGGTTTTAAATAGATGCGCTACGCTCCCCCACCGGCCACCCCGTCCGCTCCTCCTCCCTTTTCGGCCGCTGCTTCACACCATCCGCATCCTCCCCGCTCGCCGCCGCGCCGCTCCAAGTTTCTTTCGTGGTACGCGTCTCCCCCCACAAATCCGTTCGATTCCTCGCGTTTTCCTCCACTGGGTTTCTCGTACATCCCGTTTCTTCCGGATTGCTGCGTGATTTGGGATTTTGGTTGTTTGGTTGGGGCTTTTTCTGAGTGATTTTGGGGATTTTTCTTGTAGAGGAGTTGATCGAGGAGTTGGGGTTGAGATGGGCCAGATCCAGTACTCCGAGAAGTACTTCGACGACACCTACGAGTACAGGTAGATGAGAATCCCCTCTTCTTGAATCTTCTCGTTATCTCCGTTGCAAAACCCTAGTTTCTGATCCTTTTGGCCGGCGCGGCGCAGGCACGTCGTCCTTCCGCCGGAGGTCGCCAAGCTCCTCCCCAAGAATCGCCTTCTCTCCGAGGTAACCTTCAAGATCTCCAAATACATTCGTGTAGAATCGCGTTCCTGGTTGGATCGATTCGTTGATTGTCTGATTGGGGAATGGGGGTTTTTCCGATGGGGTTTATTTGCAGAACGAGTGGCGCGCGATCGGAGTGCAGCAGAGCCGCGGGTGGGTGCACTACGCGATCCACCGGCCGGAGCCGCACATCATGCTGTTCCGCCGCCCGCTCAACTTCCAGCAGCAGCAGGAGGCAGCCGCGGCTGCAGCGGCGCAGATGCTGCCCAAGTGACTGCCCCCTCCACGCGGCGATGGCGGCGACCCGGGGTTGAAATGTGCGAAACCCTAGCCCCTTTACATCTCTTAAAGGGGGTTCGCGATACTGCTAATTTACTTTCGTTTGTTAGTTGGAAATCTTAGTGATGTTGGTGGTGTCCACCTTGTGTTCGTGAGAATGCCCGAGTAGGAACTGGCATGTAAACGTCTGTGTTATCTTGGATACTTTTCATTGCTAAGCTATTATATGTGATGCTGGTACTGTTGTTAAACTGTTACAACTTACTACTACTATATGTGACATTCTGATTGTGGTCATGCTTAGCATTTCTTTCTTTTGTCCAGCATTCTGGGTATAAAGTGCAATGATCAGTAGAGGCATAACGACTGGTGAATGGACTTATTGCATTTTTAAACTTTGTGTGGTTTACAACAAACCTTGATGGTGATTGGTGCGTGTTCTGCATTGTCTCACTAATTAAGGTGTGATCAAGATATCAACATTTTGAAGCAACACTGATTATCAGTGTTCGGTGTCATTCCAGACTTCCAGCCCATCCATGTCGTCTACTACTACTGATCCAACATGGCATGGCAGGCTGAAAAATAGAAGTTGGTGCAGCCTGGTGTGTTTGGAAACGTCTGAAACTCTGAATGGCGAAAATGCAGAGTGAAATAGGAAACATCAGAAGCAGAATTTTCTTTGATGCAAGTGGAGCCTAAAACTTTTGATGAAATTTCTTTGGAATTCATCCAGTGCAAGCATATGTGATAGTGCAAGAGGATTCTTGAGCTGCACTAATGGACTGGTGGGGCAAAAGGATTTTTGAGCTGGATATTTGCGTGTTAGCATTGGAGCGCTTTGCTGCCAGAATTGAAGATTAGCTTTGCCAAAAATATCTCTTTGGGATGTGGCCAAGGAAATTGGGGGGTGTGAGTGGCAGTGTCAATTGTGGTACAGTTGCTGGTGATGGGACCTGAAATTTTCTCATCGAGCTGCCCTCTCCTGATTTTAGTTCAAGGGGACACCACGTGTTGCATGCCTTGATTTCGACATCGTGTAATCAACAAAAGCAGTAGCAACAGCAAAAGGCTACTACAACAATGTGTGGTATGAGAAATGGATCACTTTCAGTTCAACTAGGAATGCTATGATTTATCCGGTTTTCACTACGGAATCCATTTGAACTAAAAAATCAAATAAATTCATACATATCTGGAAGAGAACTCTATGCGCAGGATATCATATTAGAGACGTGACAAATCAAATACAACTTGAGTCCTTGATCAAGAAATAAGAGGAACTTGCTTAACCTCTCACACGCGTGTAATAAGAAATGCATTGTATTTTTATTTAATTCACTAGCCATGATTTTCTTTGCAAGACAAGACTGATAACGTTATTAAACAAGACAATAATTTACAACCATATGATAACCATTACAACAAAAGATCTATCGACAAAGAAAAAAAATTCTCTACATCTTAAAATGCTGCAAGACATGAGCAAACAAGCACATCCATAATTATGATCAACTCTATTATGCACAAAAGGTTGGTTGTGTGCCCATGGACAGAAGCCGGAGATATAATTATTTTCATTATTAAAAAAAATGCACAAAAGGTAATGAATAAGTACCAGCCACCATCTTTGTTCCTCTTACAAATCAATAAACCGATATCACCCAACAAATCAACGAACCTGACCAGCTGACTCTAAAGACGGTACTGCTAACCGAAAATCAAGGATCCCACAAACGAAATGATCACCAACAAAGACATGCAATAAGCAAACCCTAACCAAACATAACTCTAATAACATGGAAGATCAACCCTAAACTACTAATATATATAAGAGTAAATTTCACAAAAACTACAAATACTTTTACCAAACTATCGCAAAACTACACATTTAAAGATGCGTATTACAAAACTACAAATTTAGCATCAAATTTATTATAGAACTATATATTTAAAATATTATATCATGAAACTACAGATTTAGCAGTGAAGTTATCAAAGAACTAGATTTTTAAGTTCTTATCTATAGCATATTGGGGTTATAAAAGTCGTAGTTTTGTGATAAAACAGATGTTTCTGATATGATACCTCAAATCTTTAGTTTTATGGAAGATATGGTGTTAAATCGGTAGTTTTATGATACATGTTTTTTAAATATACAGTTTTATGATAGATTGATAAAAGTAAATGTAGTTTTATGAAATTTATTCTAGATATAAGATACTTTAATAAAAAAAATACATCTTTAAATTTAAGGGTATAGACTTGACATCATTGCCTCTGAAGCTGATAAAAAGGATGTAAAAATTCAATTATGCTTCATTGCAAAAAAAAAATAAAAATAAATTGCATATGAGACCTCCTTTTATTACCATTGTTGCAGCCTGCACCAGGGTAAAGCAACATTTTCATATTGGACCAGTTATATTTACCAAATGATTCATCTTGGTCCTAGTTCTTCTACCTCTGGCTCCCTCTTTTATCTCTCTATTTCCTCTCTTCTCTGACCAGTAACAGGTCAGGTAGCTAGCTATCTAAAGTCAGCGCTGTACTAATGCCAAAGCTCTCTCAGAGTTAGCATCAAAGCCACACACTTGTGATGGATCTCAATCTCCCCATCTAGGTTTGCACTAAAGCTCAGGAGGGAACGAAAAAAAGAAAGAAAAATTGCCCCCATTGCTGTCGAGCTATCTGCAGGGAATAGCTTGGCTTTGGTTTGGTGAAGATTTACCGATCGGCGCCGGCGGCGAGGAGGATTTTGTGGAGATTGCAGGGGGGGGGGGGGGGGGGGGGGAGGGGGTCTAGTAGTATTCCTTCACCAAGTCAGCAAGCCCATGGTCAGTTGGTCACACTCCAAGCTCTACATGTTCGAGGACATTTACATTGGGCAGGTGGATTGCAGCCTTATGATGATTATTGTTTTGTGCTTCTACCATCTTGTGGCTAGCATATGACAACAATGGACTGCAAGATTGCAAGGTGAGGCTTCATGGCATCTGTTAACCTCGAGCTTAAGTAGCGCATCGCAGTGGGAGGCCAAAGGTTGAGCACGACGATGGGCAGAGGACGAGGTTAAGCAAGGTGCATACCTCCGGTGCAACTTGCAACCATGGTAAAAATATGAGGCCCAACATGCAATTTACTCATAAATAAATGCCATAGTAGTATCAAACGGTTCTGGATCACAAAGTGCACTGATGGGGCGCGGGCGGTCAAAGTTCCGTACACTGCCTGTTCATGTCCACGGCGCCGAACTGCCGAAGTGAACCCAGAATCCAATGGGCGGACCGGCTCCCACAAGCCGGTTGGGTTCGTGTCATTCTCACGAGTGAGTAGAGGTGGCCAAACGGGCGGCCCGGCCCGGCACGGCACGGGCACGGGTCCGGCACGGCCCGTTTCGGCACGGCCCGTTAGGCATGGCTCATGAAACGGGCCGTGCCGTCCCGACCCACGTGCCGAGCCGCCGGCCCAAGCACGGCCCGTGGATGGCCGGGCCGTGCCCGTGCCGGCACGGCATGCGTGTGGCCCGCCGTGTCAGTACGGGCCCGTGAATGAAAAATGGGCCGTGGACGGGGCACGGTTGGCCCAGGAACCGAAATGGCGCGGAGGGATGCGATGCGGACTTGCGGAGGTGGCTGGCGGGCTGGGCCATCAGCTAGGAGGGGTGCTCAACGGACTTGCGGAGGCGGCTAGCGGGCTGGGCCGTCAGTTGGGAGGGATGAGATACGGACTTGCGGAAGGATGAGATGCGGACTTACTACAGTAGCCGTGCCGTGCCGTGCCGGCCCGCGGGCTCGGCCGGCGGCCCAAGCACGGCACGGCTACTCGTGCTGTGCCGGCACGGCCCGTTACTGTAGCAGGCCGTGCCGGGCCGTGCCGGCTACAGGTTCCGCCGTGCCTCGGGCCGCCCGTTTTGGCCCGGCCCGTTTGGCCACCTCTACGAGTGAGTATACCCAGGGAAGTTGGCCGCCGCTGCGTAGCCGAAGCTCCACCACACGACACCCCGCAAAACGCCATGCGTGCTCCTGCTGCACACTTGTCCCCCGCCTCCTCCGCCGTGCCGTCACGCAACCACGGACTCCTCCTCCACCTCCGTTTCCTACTCTCTTCTTCAGTTTCTCACCTCTCCGCACGAGAAAATTCGAATCCCCCTTCCGGCTGCTGGTTTTCGTGCCAGAAACAGGCGATTTTACCAGTGCCAGTTAGCTCTCGCCTTCCTCCTCCTCCATCGTGCTACTACTCTGTTCTTCTGGAAGAACACTGGTCTCCTCGCCTACCTCAGTCACCACTCACCACACCAGGTGCGAGCTATAAAAACCGGCACGCCAAAAATCTTCAAAACCACACAGAAACCTCAGATCTCCGAGGCTTCCCAAGCGAGTCGACGAAAATGCCCGTGATGGCTCCGACCGCATCTCTTCTCCTCTCCCCGAGGCCGCTGCCGGCGAGCCGCCGGGTCCCCTCGCTCCCGGCGCTCTCGGCTTCCGGTCGCCTGCGCCTCCGCCGCGCCCGCGCCGACACACGGCTCCGCGTGGCGGCGCCGCCGTCCGTCCCCGGGGAGGCGGACCAGGCGCCCGGGGAGACCGAGCCGAGCACGTCGTCGGCCGACGAGAAGTTCGTGTGGAGGGACCACTGGTACCCCGTGTCCCTCGTCGAGGACCTCGACCCCAGCGTGCCCACCCCGTTCCAGCTCCTCAACCGCGACCTCGTCATCTGGAAGGACCCAAAATCCGGCGAGTGGGTCGCCCTCGACGACCGTTGCCCCCATCGCCTCGCGCCCCTCTCGGTATGAGTATCGCCACGCGCCCTTCCAATCTCTTCCTCTTTTGCGCCAATTTTGATCCGATTGAATTCACGGCGATGATCTGGATGTCTGTGTGTTCGTAGGAGGGGCGGATCGATGAGACGGGGTGCTTGCAGTGCTCATACCACGGCTGGTCATTCGATGGCTCCGGCGCGTGCACCCGGATCCCGCAGGCGGCGCCCGAGGGGCCGGAGGCCAAGGCTGTGAGGTCGCCGAAGGCGTGCGCGATCAAGTTCCCCACCCTCGTCTCGCAAGGGCTGCTCTTCGTGTGGCCCGACGAGAATGGGTGGGAGAAGGCCACGGCTACCAAGCCTCCGATGTGCGTGTATATTCTGGATTAGTGGTTTATTGATTGAGTTTGGTTAAGGTCGTCGGTGACGAGGTTTGATCCTGTTTTTGATTCCAGGTTACCGAAGGAGTTTGAGGATCCTGCGTTCTCCACGGTGACCATCCAGAGGGATCTGTACTATGGCTATGATACATTGATGGAGAACGTCTCTGATCCGTCGCATATAGAATTTGCTCACCACAAGGTAATGCTACATTTTTTATTTGAGAATGATCAGTTACTTTAATGTACTGGCACGCAATGCTAGTCCTGGATATTGCACATTTGAGATATGAGGATGGTTTGTTGTGTACCGTACTTGCACATCATACCTCAATTTGGTTTTAGTAGTTCTATTTTTGGTTGAATCTCTTAACAGTGGCTTCTGGTGGACTATGATTGCCAATGTTTTGTTTTGAACTGCCTGTTGCACCTTGATATGAAAATGTAGCTGCAGCATCGTTCAGTCTCTTTACTTAAGCTACTGGCTAGTGCTAAAATTGAATAATACTTACTTAATCGAGGCTACTGTATTAACTGTCTGTTATGGATTCATGGTACATGGACTAGAGGTATGATTCATTATCTAAGATGCACTTTCAGTAAATCCACAACTTAGACCATTTGTCTTCCCTTCATTATTCATGGAGCAAAAGTACGATTCCCATGGCCAAAGAAATTGGTTAACTAGGCAGCATTATCCTTGCCTCAAAATTTAACTCCTCTCACAGGTCACTGGTCGAAGAGATCGAGCCAGGCCTTTGCCATTCAAGATGGAATCAAGTGGTGCATGGGGATATTCAGGGTCAAATTCTGGAAACCCTCGCATCAGTGCAACTTTTGTGGCCCCTTGCTATGCACTGAACAAGTATGTTCAGCAAAACACTCTAATCATGCCTTTTCCCATTTCATTGCATTTGCCTTTTGATGTGAATTAGCTCATATATCAGTTTCACATCCAGTAACTCCACTTATGATTCTGATCTTTTAGTATTTCGTTTTTTGTAGAATTGAGATAGACACAAAGTTACCCATTTTTGGAGATCAGAAATGGGTCATATGGATTTGCTCTTTCAACATTCCAATGGCCCCAGGGAAGACTCGTTCTATAGTTTGTAGTGCTCGGAACTTTTTCCAGTTTAGCATGCCAGGAAAAGCATGGTGGCAGGTATCTGCAATTTTTGTAGCTCTCTCTATTTACCTCCTTTTCAATCTACTTGTTAGTGCCCTTTTTAGGAAAACAGCAGTAAAGATCCCCGCTCTATTAAAAATTAGAGTGAATTTTATGCTCTCATTATATCCGAAAGTATAAAGTAAAACCCTGAATCCCCTGTTCTTATACATTTGCTTCTTTGTGTATGTGATGCAGCTTGTCCCTCGATGGTATGAGCATTGGACTTCAAATTTGGTCTATGATGGTGATATGATAGTTCTGCAAGGGCAAGAGAAGATTTTCTTGTCTGCATCGAAGGAGTCTTCTGCAGATATTAATCAGCAGTACACAAAGATCACGTTTACACCCACGCAGGCTGACCGTTTTGTTTTGGCATTCCGGGCATGGCTAAGGAAATTTGGTAACAGCCAACCTGACTGGTTTGGAAATCCTAGCCAAGAAGTGTTGCCTTCCACTGTCCTTTCAAAGCGTGAGGTAAAAATTTCTGGGATCTAGTTATGTGAGAGCATTTATGCAGTTTTATTTTGAAGCTAGTCTTTAGATGGTTTAAGGAATTTAGTTATGTTTACTACCTTGCTCGCAAGAACTTTTTACGCGCTGATTCCATAAAGTATTTGACACTATCCTCCTTGCATGAACTTTGTTTTTTTTTTTTTGGACACAAAACAAAAGGTTTGATGTTGTTCATTATGGGCACAGATAATTGATTTCCATGAAGTATTTTTGCACACTACTCCTTCCATGAACCTTGATATATTGTTTTGGACACAAAACAAAGGTTTTATGTTGCTCATTATTGGCACGATTTTTTTTTGTTTCTGTGCTATATTTTAATTGTCATACTTACTGGCGCCTTTAGCTGTGAAGCTCAGTAATGTACTTTAAAATATCTATGGAGGTATGATAGCTTTGAAGTACTCATAGTACCTGACATTTGAGGATTTAACCACAGCAGTTCCACATATTTGAAGATTCAACCACAGCAGTTCCTTGTAAATTTCAACTTATACTTCCTATGAAAAACATGTTCATTTATGCTTGCGTTTCTATGTATTCTTCAATCCTTGTATCCTTATATTTGACTATATGTTGACCGAGTTGCAAATTACCTATGCAGATGCTAGATAGATATGAGCAGCACACACTGAAATGCTCATCTTGCAAAGGGGCATACAACGCCTTCCAGACTCTGCAAAAGGTCTTCATGGGAGCGACAGTGGCGTTCTGTGCAACTGCTGGGATTCCTGCGGATGTTCAGTTCAGATTATTGCTTGCCGCTGCTGCTTTGGTTAGTGCCGCTGTAGCGTACGCATTTTATACGCTCCAGAAGAATTTTGTATTTGTAGATTACGTGCATGCTGAGATTGATTAAACAAGCATGACATCTGATCTGAGATCTGGTGAAGCGACATCACACGATCATTTGTGCAACGTAAGCTAGGGAATATAGATTGTCGGTGGATATAGTCTAATGTTGCATTGTAGGCAATAGGTTTGTAATTTGTATTAGCTCTTCGGAGATGATGTACAAAAGTTGAAATGAAAAATGTAATTTTGCTCATCATGGCCCAATGACTTTTGATTGATGACTGATGAGTTATTCTCAATGAGTATAGCTTATCTACATTATTGTTGTAGTAGGTGCAATTCATCTTGCTATCTTGCACCGAGGCACATTTGGTTGTAAATCTCAACATAATTTTTGGTTGAACTAGTACAAGAAAACTCTGTTAGAGTGCGCTTAACCTTTCTAGGTAGTCTGATAATCTGATTTAGCTAAAAACCGGAGATGGTGGGTTTTTAACTAAACCCCCTTTTCCTTGTGAATGGAGTATGTGATTCTCGTATGCTCCTTAGGTGATACTATGTCCCTATTTGCTTCAAAGTTTCACATTTCAAAAACCAAATATTCAAACTCCCAACTCGAAAATTCAACGGTACCTCCACCTTTCACTCAGATAGTGAAAGTTTGGACTTTCACCGAGGAATAATGAACAAAACAGTGGGTACTTCAGAAACCATTATCCGTCACAAATTTTCTTCCAGATGAACAAGTCACTTTCTCACGTAGTAGTGCTACATACGGTACCGGCACAGCGGCCACCGATGTGTATGCAACAGTACTAGTATATACCAGCCTCTCAGGATTAAGGCCCACCTTTCAGTGAGCAAGGAAATTTTCTACTAAGGAGGATTCCAATTTTTTTTTCCCTCAAGGATTCCTTGGCCCACCTGATAAGCTGAACACATCGCCCAACCCGGGCTCCCAGATGTGGCCAGATCTACCACCCGTCACCATCCCACTCCATCTTATCCGTCCATTTTTTTTAAAAAAAAATCGAACCCAAAATTCCTCCCCCACACCACGCCTCCACCTCCGCCTCATTTGCTCCAGTTCCCGGAGGGCCGCAACCACCGCTAGCCACTCACCCGGCACGGCATGGCTGCGTCGCTCCGGTCGCCGCCCCCCTTCCCCGCCGCGGCGTTCCGCCGCCGCCGCGCCGTCGTGCGCGCCTCTTCCTCCTCGTCGTCCTCCTCCTCGGCCGTGTCGTCCGCACCCAAGGCGCGCTTCGTCGCCCGCCGCTCCGAGTCCACCTTCGTCCAGCAGCTCGCCCGCCCGCTCGGTCGGTATCTCCTAGTCCTCCTCCCCTCCCGAGTACTAACCCCGGGCTCGGGATTCGCCTTTGCCTCGCGCTTCGTTTGTCGGAGAGATCCCCGCCCTGAAGCTGAGCCTGAGATGTTTTGCTTTGCTCGTGTCGTGTAGCGGAGTACATGAGCTTGCCGGCGAGTCAGTACTCGGTGCTCGACGCGGAGCGCATCGAGCGCGTCGACGAGTCCACCTTCCGCTGCTACGTCTACCGCTTCCGCTTCTTCGCGCTCGAGGTCTGCCCCGTGCTACTTGTTCGCGTCGACGAGGAGCCCAACGGCTGCTGTATTAGCCTCCTCTCCTGCAAGGTGTGGTGGTGCCTACTTGCAGCTTCACTAATGGCGGTAGGTGTATTTTGTAGATTGTGATCAATGCCTCTAATTCGAAATATTCGTTTTGCAGCTCGAGGGATCACCGCTTGTGGAGGCTCAAAATGACAAGTTTTCAGGTAACTGTCGGTGTTGAAATGTTGAATAGTATGATAATCCCACGGCAAGAACAGTTAGTCAATTATAATAGTTGGTTCTTGATTTTATTATTGCTATTTCCCACCGTCTGGACTAAGATAATGATCAAACATCAATACACTGTCACAGCCTCTGAGCCTCATCAACAATAGCTGATGTTGTTTGTTTTTTGTCACATTTCTGTTCATGTTTCCTGTAAGTTTCAGATACTCTTCTCGGCTTGCTTGCAATTCTTTACTTGATAATTCATACGCACAGCTCATATGTCAATGAAGTTTCTATAAATATAGTCATATAGACTCGTAGTGGTAGAGTTGCATGATCGAGCCTATATTAGTTCATCTACCAACGTTTAATATTTATGATTCTTTAGTTGTGTTTCGCATATTCTAAGATAATCTATTGAATTCCTTGTCCAGGAAATCATTGACATGATTTGCTGTGGGATGCAGCTTCCATGGTGAATAAGGTGTTCTGCAACAGTAGTATGAGTGATTCAACATCTCAACAGCTTACATCGGATACTACAATCGAGGTAACTAAGTCTTAGGCTCTCTCCTGACTCTGTCTTTGTCTGAACATCATCCGAAATTACTGGACACAATTAGCTTCTTGTGACAAATTTCCAGGTTACAATTGATATACCATTTCCATTTCGAGCATTACCTGTTGAAGCCATTGAATCAAGTGGCAAGCAAGTTCTTGAGCAACTACTCCGAGTCATGCTTCCACGATTTTTGAAGCAGGTTAGTTAAATACATTTTTTTGTTTCCAGTTAAAACTTTGTTGCAAATTCTAACACCAGTCAAGACATCAAGTGAAGGCAGCTACTTTTATTTCTCTCGTATTAATTTGACACCTGATGTATCATAGATAGTTCACCACTATCTGTTTTCTATTGTTCCATGTTGAATTTTAGGCTTGCATTCAGCTCTATACCTAGATTTTATTTCCAACAAATTAATCAATATTTGAAGTCCCACGGGTGCTTTAGTTTATAGTTTACTTTCTATTTGTACAATGATATAACTAAGAAACTAAATGGTCTGAAAAAAAAGAATGATACATGATAGTATGAATAAGATTTATGTTGAGCAATTGCCAATGTGCCGGCTAGAACTTTACTAGGATTATTTGACATGAGTAGCAGTTCCTATGATTATCCTAATATTTATCTTAGAGATTATTTGTCAACTGAGAAAATTATTTTGCTCTCAGCTTGTTAAAGACTACCAAGCATGGGCTTCGGGTGATTCTTCAAGGAAACCACTTGGCACTGGTGAAATATGAAGCTTCGCAGTGTCTCCATTAGGCATTATAGTCTTTTCTTGTTGCATTAGTTATTGCTTGATGGGGTATAGAAAAGCTGTTTATACGTCGTTTTGCTCACAAAATCCATTTGCTTCTTTGTGGTCTTTGCCTGAAGATGTTCTGTAGTGTGTATGGATTTGTGCCATGCGACCAGTCACATACATTTGTAGGTTGTTCATTCACAATGTGTTGTTGTAAGATTAACAATATCCGACCAAAAACTCTTCTGCCTCCATACACATTACAAATTATGGTCCTGTGATATAAGGATTGTCTATGCAAGGAAGGGGTCGGATATGGTTTTCTGATATTGAGAGCAATATGTGCGGACAACGAAGGTGACTACTGACCAGATCGGATGGCCAAGGGGAATTTTGGCTATCATGTTCATTTAACAGTTCTTAACTATCTTTTCCAGCCTGGGCGACGGTTGATGTTTTTGTAGCTTGTGTTATCCATAAATCATGAACATACATAGTCTGTCTAATGTGGAAAGGGATGGTTTAGCAATCAGATGTAAAAAGTAATAATACAGAGCTTCATCATGCTTAATTATCTGACTCTGTTGGATCGAAGCTAGATGCTCTTCAATGATCTGCTTTCAAGAATCAAGATATGCCTGATGATCAGATGACGCAATGCTATGAAGCGTTTTGTGCTACATTTTAATTACCTACCTGTGTAAAGATAAGTTATATTTGCTCAAACTAACACAGAGCTAGAATCTGTGTTTAGTTCACGTCAAAATTGGAAGTTCGATTGAAATTGGAACAATGTGATGGAAAAGTTTAAAGTTTATATGTGTAGGAAAATTTTGATGCGATGAAAAAGTTAATGAATTATGCGCATTTCCTAAAACTTCAAAAAGCTTCAACCACCGACTAGCTCTACCCTTGACTTTCAAGAGGAGAAAAAAAATCAGAACAAAGGCCCCGTTCTTTTTTGCTATAAGTAGTGAATAAAAATTTTCATCTTCATAGCACATTTTTTAAATAAGTTTTTGCTTATAATGTTTGACCACCTATCTTATTTAAAAAATTTGTGCAAATATAAAAAACGAAAAAATATGCTTAAATTACTTTGGATAATAAAGTAAGTCACAAAGAAAATAAATAATAATTCTAATTTTTTTTAATAAAACGAATGGTCAAACAGTGCAAGTAAAAACTCAAAATCCCTTATATTATGAGACAGAGGGAGTAAATGATATGTTTCGTACCGAATATTTTTATATGAAAATTCTTGTAAAATATTAGATAAATCTATTATTTAAGTTTGTATTAATTAAAACTCAATTAATTCGTCGATATATCTCGTTTTCCGTGCACCAAAATTATAAATGCTATCCATTCGGTCTATGAGCGAGAGAGATAAGGACCCGAAGCGAGGCCATCTCAATTCTCAAACAGATGCGTTTCCACCGGTTCGTTGTCGTTGTCAGTTTCCTTCCCGTCCCCACCACCGCGGCGCCACCCGTATGACCTCACCCGCCGTCGTGTCACCGCCCTCGGACTCGACCCTTTTCTGAGCTGTCTCTCGCCTCCCTCTCCCTCTCCCTCCTCTAGGAGAGAGTTCTCTCCTTACTTCCTCCTCTCCCCTCCACCATGGCTCGATCCGTGGCGTCCTCCTCCTCCATCTCCACCATGCCGTCCTCCTCCGCGGCGGCGGCGGCCGCCGCCCTAGGTGACGTCTCCCCGCGCCCCTCCCCGCCCTCCTCGCCGCTTCCGAGCACGCTCTCATTCGCTTCCTCTCGTGGCTTTCAGAGGCCGTGCAGGTCCTCGTCACCTCCCTCGCCGACGAATCACCCGTCGCCCGGGACGCCGCGCTCGCCGCCCTCCGCGAGATCGCGCCGATGTAAGGGGATCGCTTCCGCCGCTTCCATTCTTCCGCGTGAAGCTTAATTTTAATCCGGGTAAATTCGTTGCGTGTTGCGTTGTGGTTGCAGGAACCCGCTGCTCGTCCTCGACTGCTGCGCCACCGTCTCCAGAGGCGGTCGTCGGGTACGCTCGTGCGCATTTGGGGACTAAAATTCACTTACCGGGGGCACTGTTTTGGGGCTTGTTTGGATTTGGGGTTGTGAAGCTTTTTTTGGTTTGTCTGTATTGCAGCGGTTTGGCAATATAGCTGGGGTTTTTCTCGTGATGGCTTCTGCAGTGAAGGCTCTCGATCGCTCTGATGCTGAGCGTGAATTTCTTCGGAAACTTGCGAAGATTGCAACAGCAGAGATTGTTAGCTCAAAGGTATGGGATGCTGCCAGCCTGTCTATTGTGTTCTTACTTCTGAGCTGAACACTGTGAGTTCAAGCAGTAAACAGGAGCACTTCTGAGCACTGTTTTGTAGCCCAACGTAATGCCATTATTTGGGGCAGATTGCTAAACATACAACGTCCAAAAACTGACATACCATGGGGCTATGCTTATGATACAGTAGGTCCAGCAGATGTATGATTATTACTTTAGATTTTACATTTTTGGCCTTTTCGGGAAACAAAACCAATTACAGCTGTTACGGTAAGATGTTATGAAAAGAGCAATGGACATGGTTCTTTAGCAAATAATTATTATCACTATCAAGGAAATGGTTCCTGTTCCACCTTGGAAGCCAGGAAATTAGGGCATATGTTTGTCTCGCTCTTTTGTTTTGTGGTTTTTTGTTTTTTTTTCTGCCTATGCTTATTTAGTTTATCTAAATTATTGTTCATTGGTGAACAGGAACTCAATGTCGACTGGCAAAGAGCAGCAGCGAGTCTTCTTGTTGCCATAGGGTCACATGATCCAGACTTGGTATGGCTTCACCTCCATACATTATCCTTTTCTGACATGAACCTTTAGTGTTCTTAGAGGAGAGGAATGTACTTAAAAGCTGTGACTCCAAAAGCTACATTATTGTCTCCTTGCAAAGCTTGGACTGGCTGACTTGACTTTACCAAATCTACTCGGCTTCCTTCCCAAACCTACTACTTAGTTCTAACATCTAACCATTAACTCTATGTTCAATAACTTACAGACTTTGTGTTTACTAACTTTATCACTAACCTGCCAAAAGATAACTCTATATCAACTAATTTATGGATTTCATTGCAACTTGTCTCATCCACCCATCGCAGCCATCTGTCATGGATAGAATTATCAGATGCATTAACTAATATAATTAAGTTCGTATTCACATTCCTACATAGGAACATGTTTTGTAGATATGTGGTCTACAATAGAGTGGAACTTGTAAAATAAGAAATTGATGATAGTTTTTTTTGGTTATTTCAATAAAAATAACAGTGGATAATTTCAGAGGATCCAACAAAAATAAGATTTTATAGCATCATCTAGCGGCCATCCTTTGTACCTTTTTTTTATGGTTTCACATTGAGAATCCCTTATATCTTGTTTCAAGTATAGTTTTCCTGTTTCACTATTGTCAGGTTGGTCTCATTCTTCATTTCTCTGTTGGCTTTGGGTGCTCGCTGCTAGCAATTCTTTACTACCATGTGGCCTAGCATTTTAATAATGCAAATCTGTTACTACTCTTATTCTAGATGATGGAGGAATTATTTCTTTACTTCGCTGGACCAACTTCTGCTTTGCCAGCCATGTTACAGATACTTGCAGATTTTGCATCAGCTGAAGGTTAAGCACAACTTTTAGTTTAACTATAATCTGATATTGGGTTGGACTGCTGAATTTGCAACTCGGTCTTGCTTATTTAAAGCCTTGCAGTTCACCCCACGATTAAAGGATGTACTTTTGCGCGTTTTACCTATCCTGGGAAGTGTACGGGACGCTCAACGACCTGTTTTTGCGAATGGTACTGCATATGAATATTCCTCCAATTATCATTTCTAGTTACTCCTTTTTGTTGTTGAGCAAACTGCATTTTGGTTCTCATGTTTCTGGAAAGACAAAAATATCTATCAATACAATGTTCCTTTTGCAGCATTCAGGTGTTGGTGCCAGGCAGCATGGCAGTACATAGGAGATGCCCCCTCTGAGCTTCCTTTCGATACTGACGTCATGTAAGCTTTCAATATGGCAAATAATCCTTTTTTGAGATAACTTAATCTTTTATGCAATCTATCTTATATTTCAATGATAGGTCCTTTATGAATTCAGTATTTGAATTACTTCTAAAAGTATGGACAGGTTCGCGTGATCTAAAGGTAAGCTTTGGCTTTGACTTGATTCTTTTATTTGCTGATTTGTTACTATTTAGTATTTACACCCTTTACAAACAGCACTGCCCAACTGATACGAGCAAGCTGTATATGTTTGGATACGCGTATTATGCCTGGACCTCGAAAATAGTTTTTTGTACAATTGTCAGAAACACATACGTGCCTATAAAATTGATACACTTTGATAAATTTGTACATATCAATTGCTCAGTTTAGTGATTAATGGTGTAGTCAATAAGCATCATGATGCATTGATGCACCCTATCCAGCTTTATGAAATAATGTGGCGAAACGAGACTGGATTTTACCATCTAGGAGTGTATTCTGTGAGTTTCCACCCAATCCAAAGGATACATTTAGAGATGGGTTAATTGGATTCATGCCACGCCCAGTAGTGCAGATCAGATGACTGTTTGTTACTAGCCAATTGGATGGACATGACCGTGAGTTCACATTTAAGGGAAGCTCCTACCAGATATGGCTGCTGGGCCCTGGCCCAAACTGGAGATTCAATGTTTGTCGCTCCTTGTATGATGGAACTTCTTCCTTCATAACACGGCAGACTTGCTACAGTTTGCTGGGATGTTATTAGCTTAGCGACTGCTTTTGCAGTAATATATATATATCCATCTTCTGAATTCATTCCAACATAATATTGCATGATCAAATTTACCTGTAATATTTTCATCAGGTGCGGTTGTCTTCTGTTGAGGCTTTGGGAGAAATGGTTGGTCTTGTCACAAGATCACAGTTGAAATCAGCACTGCCAAGGATCATACCGACAATGTTGGACCTGTATGTATGGGTTCTATTCTACTCCCTCCGTTCCAAAATATAAGGATTTCTGCATGTTTCCCAAAATGTATCTGCACATTTTGGAACGGAAACAGGGAGAGTAATATATTTACTGAAGATATTTGCCAAATTCTCACAGACATTTTTTTTTGCTCATGTAGATGTCGGAAAGATCAAGAAATTGCTTTTGTTGCATCTCACAGCCTTCATAACCTTCTTAATGCATCATTATTGTCAGAAAGTGGTCCTCCTTTACTTGATTTTGAGGTAAAATAAGATCATGCTTAATACATGTTTTCTTTACTATATGTGGTGGCTCTGCATTTTTGTGTCAACTTTTGGTACTCTGCGTTAATTGCTACGGTAATGGGAATCACCTAAGATGCTCTTTATAGGGAATATATCAAATGGGAACTGCCCACAAAATACAACTAGCAACATTGACAATCAGATCAGATTGTGGTGGCTCAGAGCCTCAGACCATCCACTGTAATCTAATTGAGTTCATAGTTACTGTTTTGTCCTTCCACCATGTAGTGATATGTGCTACATCTAGCAGCTCTCCCTTTGATAGATATTGCTGATGCACTGTCCTGTGAATACCATATTTCTGCTTGGAAATATCCATCATGCTGATTGACTAATATCTTCTTTTAGTACATAATTGATATGAATCCAGATCATCAAATACTCCCTCCGTCCCAGAATATAAGCATTTTTAGAGTTGGACACGGTTATTAAGAAAGTAGGTAAAAGTGAATGGTGGAGGGTTGTGATTGGTTGAGTAGTGGAGGTAGGTGGGAAAAGTGAATGGTGGAGGGTTGTGATTGGTTGGGAAGATAATGTTGGTGTAGAAGTTGTTATATTTTGGGACAAATCTTAAGAGCTAAAAGTTGTTATATTTTGGGACGGAGGGAGTATATAATATAAACACGTTCAACATCTTATGTTGATATTCCTTGTGTGTCTGCTATTTCTCTTGAAACAATAGATGAGTTGAAGATAATAAGAATGCCTTAATCTTTGGTAGAATAAAGACATTAGTTTTTTTTAGACATCTTACACACATGTCAAAGCATGATCAGTCAGGATTTTTTGTTCCTTATGTGGCAGGAGCTTACTGTTGTCTTAATTACACTTCTTCCATTAGCATCGGCCAACAACAGCAAATTTGAGCATTCGTATGTTTCAAAGGGACTGAAGGTGCCTGCCTTAAATCTTTCACACCTATTCTGGTTGAACATATATATTCATTGATTTGCATCCTCTGCTGGCTCATTCTTTTTGTACTTTATGCTGTCACAATTTGAATAGTAAGATATACTAAATAATGATTGACGCGTTCATGAAGTCAGGGTTCTTTTTGGTAGTTGATTGGACACACCAGTTGTTAGTCGAGGGATAAGTGGGGACTGGAGAGCGATACAAAGTGGTATGATGGCAACATGCCAACTGCCCAACATATACCTCAAATTTGTCTCAGCCTAGTAGGTGTCCTAGTAGGAAATTGTTCATTTTTGGTTCTGCTCTGGCACATGCACTGAGGATCAGGATGAAATGTTGTATAAACTCCTCAAATAGACCACTAAGATTCAGCTTAGCATCTGTTTTGGTAATTGGAAGAAGCAACCTAGAGTTGGACCTTAATCTGCTGTTGCAAAACAGCACTGCTATTTTATGAGTTAAACAATATTTGCATGAAATGTTGTGGGGCGATGGGATATTCCTTATTAGCCACTTTGTGCAATTGTGCAACCATCATTAGTTAGCATCAATTGTGCTGTATTTTCTTGTCAATGCCACCTGCATAATGTCTCTCATGAAGCGATTCATGTTGCTGCATGGTTAACTACTGGATCTGTATCTACCCTAAAAAAGAGAGGGGAAAAAAATACTGAACCTGTATCCAGTTTGTTCCTGGGAGGCACTTGTACTTTTCTTACATTTGAGCAAAGCTATCAGATAATCAGACTTATTCCATTTGTATTGCTGTGCAATAGATGTATTCTGCTGTTGATAAAACATTTACTAAATACTAATCATGTGCTCGTGCCTTTAGACATACAATGAAATCCAACATTGCTTCTTGGTAATTAGTTCAGCATACCCCGAGGATTTGTGCATGTTCCTTTTGAATGTAAGTATAGAGCTACTATTTTTTCCACCTTTAAATAAAGCCAAAATCTATTGGGGATGGATTCCCTAGTTTGTGCTTACAAAAAAGGCTTATATAGACTATTGCTGCTTCCATGTACTGCCTACAGAAATGCAAGTCAAAAGACGAAGCATCTATTGTTGGGGCACTTGGCACAATAAAACATCTATTGCCTAGGTTCTATTTCTCTCTCTATCTCTCCCTCTCTGCGTTTTTGAGTTGTTTGCAGGGATCTCTATAACATATCTATACAGGTTGTTGGAATCATGGCATACTAAGCAAGCGTTACTTGTTGAAATTGTGAAATCACTTTTGGAGGAGCAGAGCTTGGGTATTCGAATGGCACTAGCTGAGGTAGTAAATTCTGTATTAACTTTAACTAGCATATATCTTACACAATATTGTAGATGATAATGATCTCCCTAAGATTATGCATCCAATTATTCACTTAATACTAATTCAATGATGTACAGCTAATTGTTGTTATGGCTTCACATTGCTATTTAAGTGGACATCCTGCTGAGCTGGCAGTTGAGTTTTTGGTGCGTCATAGTGCTATAACTGATGATGATCTGAATGATCCTAACACTCTGAAAAACGAGTACTTTCAGGACAAAAGATTTGAGGTCTCACTTAATCTTAGATTCTACAAATTTACTTAACTATTAAGTACTCCCTCCGTTTCATAATGTAAGACTTTCTAGCATTTCCCACATTCATATAGATGTTAATGAATCTAAACACATATATGTCTAGATTCATTAACATCTATATGAATGTGGACAATGCTAGAAAGTCTTACATTGTGAAACAGAGGAAGTATCAATTATTTCAGTGATTTATTTTCTGTTTTCATTTGCCAGATGAAAATAAGCCTATCTGGTCTTTCAGAGCTAAGAGCTGTATGTGAAAAGGGTTTGCTTTTGCTAGCAATTACCATTCCTGAAATGGAGGTAAAAATAAGCATGATGTTGTCCTTTTATGCTATGCCCATGCCCCATCTAGTCAGAAAATTGATCTATGAAGCTACCATCATATACTTTTGTCATGGTAAATCAAATATTCATAGTTATGTGAGTAATGTGCTCTAGATTTTTCTATTTTCCAGCTTGTTCTATGGCCATTTATCTTGAAACTGATAATTCCGAAGAAGTATACAGGTGCGGTAGCTACGGTGAGTACTTTTATGTTATTTGCTACACCTGGAAAATATTTGTTAAACCAATGTGCCTTAGTTTTTTTTACTCTTATTATTTAGAGTAGATAAATAATTAAATAATCAGGTTCATATGATTGGTGATACCTGCAGATCTGCAAATGCATAACTGAATTGTGCAGGCATAAATTGTCTCAGACAAACCCACTATATACTGAATTTAATGCTTCAAATGAGATCCCCAATCCCGAGGTAGTTTACTTGATCCCAGATGTATTTTATTCTCTTCCTTGGACAGTTCTTTCTTATCTAAGTATGGTTGGTGCAGGATTTGTTTGCTCGTTTGCTCGTGCTTCTGCACAATCCACTTGCTAGGGGTCAACTTGCCACACACATCCTGATGGTTTGTCTTCTTAGTTCTTATTAATTAAACCTAAAATCATTAGAAGAATATTTACACGAAAGAAGCTTCGCCTTAGGCCCTTAGCTTTGACCATGCTTTTTTTTAATAAAAAAAAACCACATGTTCATGTTCATCCATCTATTTTCGTGTGGTTTAGCTTTCCAGCCATCTGTATGTTTTTCCTCTACAGTAGGCCATATAAATGCTTTGCCTCTTTACATGAGTTTAAAAAACGGTGTAATTATGAACTTCATATTTTGATGACTAGTTACCATGATTCTTGAAACTTTATGCTATTGATACAGATTTTTTATTCATAGAAAATTGAGCATTTGCTTGTTTAATACGAGAAGAGGTTATATCACAATAGCTTCAGATTTCTGGTCAACTGGAGTAGCTTCTGTCATTGGTAGTCAATGGGCTGCCTGATACTATTAGTTTTACTTTATATCTGGATTATCTAGTAACTTGACATTGTTTTGTACTTGATTTTCATTACAACTGTCGCAACAACTAATTTGCATGTTTGACTGCCTCAAATTAAGTGATTCCATCTGTTACTGGCCAATACTTAGATGGCTCATGACATCTTTATTTTTGTTTACAGTCTCTTAGCTCTTCTAGGTCGCTGTTGAGTCTTGACTCACACAATACCATAACATTAAGTTTATTTGTTTCCATTCGTCAGCACTCATTCCTCCTCTCATTTTTTTCTTGTAGGTGATGTGTTACTTGGGTCAACTTTTCCCAAGAAACCTTTCTTTATTTTTACAAGATGAGGTAATTCGCTTCATTTATTTGTTTAGCACTTGAGAGTTCTTTCTTATTTAGTTCTAAGTGTAAAAGAAAGAACATACAGGTTGTATTTCTACACTTTGGGGGAATTTTCTTTGCATATTTTTGCAGTAATCATGTCTTACTTTTTTTATGATAAACCCCGAAACCGAAAGAGAATAAAACATGTGCTGCCCAACCTGGATGTGTCCTGGAATTAATATTTGCTTGTCCTGTGCATGCTTTATGTATAATGCACTGACTATGGAACTCCTGTGGTGATCTACTTAACAGAAAAGAGGCCGAGAGAGCATATTTTATAGGGAAATGCTAATATTTCGGCTTGTCCTTATCATGTTGTTAAAGTGGCTTAATATATGCATCTTTTGGCAAGTATTAGGTCCCTAAGATGAAAGCTTACATCGGTGACCCTGAAGACCTTAAGCAAGATAGCACATACCAGGAAACGTGGGATGACATGATAATAAATGTAAGTCTCTTATTCTTATTGTTCGAGGATAATAATGATGCCATTGCCAAAATCTATACTTATTAACTATAATAATGGTGGTTGCTTTGGTAAAACAAAATTATAGCTAGTTGAGTGGAACAAAAATGCAGAAAGGATTGTCTCATGTGAATCCTCAAATGCTACCTACTTCTCTGGAAAGCTGATCATGCCATACCTTTCAGTTTTTAGCAGAATCTTTGGATGTTGTGAATGACAGTGAGTGGGTAATATCCTTGGGCGATGCATTTGCTAGACAATATGATCTATACGCTACATGTGATGGACATTCTGCTTTGCTGCACAGGTAAAGTTTTGTTACCCCTTGTACATTTTCTATAGAACTTTTAGTTTGAATACTTTGGAATGTCTAAACCATTCTGTACTGGTAGATGCCCATGCAATCTTTGTGCTTGAAGTGATTGTTTTAAATTTTATTTTGCAGATGTTTAGGAATGCTTCTTCAGAAGGTTGATGACCGAATTTATGTCCGTGAAAAGATTGACTGGATGTGTGCACATTCAAGCATGTCTATTCCTATTAATCGCCTTGGGCTTGCCCAAGGCATTGGTCTGGTAAGCGGGTTTAAATGAAGTTCTACTTTTTGGGGGCTATCGCCTTTTGGTACTGAACTTGCACTTGCAGGTTGCAGCATCTCACTTGGATACAGTTTTGGAGAAGCTGAAGAACATATTGGAGAATGCAGGACAGAGCGCTCTCCAAAGGTAAGTGCATTAACTTTTTTGTTTACAGTAGTAACATATGTTATCTTGTCCGCCCAGTGTTAGCCATGCTGAAGCAGCAACTTGAAACTTAAATTGGATCTATAACTTTGCTCACGTGTATAAATGTATTCCTGAACCTTATTTCTCACCTCCAAAGCACTGATTACTTTCCATTTTAACCATTTAGAATAGATTTTCTTGTATTGTGATTAAAACTTCTATATAACCCACTTAAAACATTTCTGTTTATGTCCTTGTTATGCATTTTAGTTATTCCCATACTGTTTTTGAAGAAAGATAAATTGAAACTACATGTAAGGTGGATCCAACAATGCAACTATCTTTAGCTTGTTAGTTCATTTTTTCCAGGCCATGTGTCTAGTTTGTTCCTTTTATTAATTCTTATGGAACCTTTAATTCTGCAGGTTCCTATCACTTTTCTCATTGGGAGCAAAAGTTGAGGATGTTGATGACACATATGCAGCCCTGGCATTGATGTATGGATATGCTGCAAAATATGCTCCATCAACAGTTATTGAAGCCAGGATCAATGCACTTGTGGTATGCTGTCTAATTCCAATCTATCAACAAACTTGTTTCTGATCTGTTACCTTAACACGACAACATGATGAGTGATTATTACATATTCCCATTAAAGATGATTATTACATAATCATTTGTGGTCAACTGGTCATGAGAAGAACAGCAAACCACTAGGTTGGGCTAATCCTTAGGTGTCAGAAATAGGATCGGCTTCTTGGGCTTCTCTGGGAAATTGAAGCCCCATATACAACACTTCCTGGTTCACTCTAGCACCCTAGCTTGAATAGTACATTTATGATCTTTATTGTCTGGCCATTCTTTAATTTTCAGACCCAAGAATCCATCCACTGATTGTATGTGTTATTGTCTGCTGCTTATGTTTCTGTGCTGACCTTATTTTACTGCATTGTATTTTAAGACAAAGACACGATCATTTCATATGTTCTTGATTTCTTAGCTTATACTCCCTCCATCCAAAAGTCTAGGTCATATTTCATTTTCTGTTTTTCCAAATGAGATGGACAATATTGTTCCTTGGTTTTGTCACATGGTAGATGTGTTAATTCCTCCTTGGTCTTGGTGATAAAAGAAATATGCCTTAGACTTTTGGATGGAGGGAGTAACCGAATAAGCTGAGGCTATGCCTCTTTTAAGATTAACTGCAGATACGTTCTATTTTGGTTTTCTAGATTGAGGAATGTTCTTTACTTCTGTACTCAGGGGACTAATATGCTTGGAAGATTTCTTCATGTTCAACATCCTACTGCAAAGCAAGCTGTCATTACTGCCATTGACCTTTTAGGTAATTTCCTTACAAAAAAGCTGCATATCCCGTCCTGTTTTTTGGAATCAATTTTTCATTTGGTAGAGAAATTGATCTTCAGGCACACATTCGTTTGTTTCCCTGCCTCTGTGTGTGTGTGTTTTCCTGGGAAATTGTTTCCCTGCTTTGTCACAATTGGTATTTTGCTATTTGCATATTGTTATTGACTCAGTAACCTTGAGGATTCTTGGGTGATGTATATATGGATGCGATGTATTTTGTTGTGGAGGTGGTAGCCTAGAAAAATATCTACAATTCACAAAGTTATCCATACAACTCTTATGTACATATCTCTCTGGTGAATTGTTCTTTAATTTTTAATTGCATTAAATATCTTGAATAAAAGGAAGAGGAGAAATGACGTTGATATGTAGAGGTCCAGAACTAGATTGGCATGTACTTAAAAAGGTATTTACTTTATTTTAGGATTCTACAACGAAATCTTACAAGTATAATTATTTCAAAGAAATATATAAATGATCTATTTGTCGGCACAAGATCCCACCAGCTCAGAACATGGTGCCAGACCGATGGAATGCTGGACTAACCAGGAGACCAGGACCACCACCACTAGGCTCTTTGTATTCTCAATATAATTTTCTTCTAATTGTACCTCATATGTTGCCCACATCTAATGGTTCGCACGAATAGTTTGCTTGATTGCATTTAGATCCGAGTTCGCACAAGATACATCTCCATGTAAATATTGCATTGATAGTTAGTGCCCGTTTGATTTGTATTTACAGTATCATGAATCATCTATCACAACTCAGTAAATGTATGCAATCGTAAATTTGTTAATTGAATCAGAATGCAAGTATCAATATTTTTGTGCTAGCAGTTAAGTTTCCGAGGTTAACTTATAATTTACATTTTTTTTTGTCTTACTAACATATTTTTTTAGATAATGGAAGCTTTATTTAGACTCAGTTAATTACGTCAAGATGATACAATCAAACTGAGTCACCCCCGGCCTCCGCATAAAATGCACACAGCCAAAAAAGAAGAAAGAAACAACTAGAACATCTTCCAAGCACAAAAGTTTGATAGAAACATATATCTTAGTGGCTATCAATCCGTAGACTAGACCGCCACCCATGCTCCTGGGTAAAAAACTCCTGCGCCACCTGGTCCAACTGTCGTGATACCACCGTAATAGTATCCCGCAGTCCCGGTTGGTGGAGGATAGCCCAGGTACGTAGCCAGCGAGTAACTAAGGTGATAACCTGCAAAGGAGAAGACACCATCTTGTTATAAAAAATTACTCCATTCCTGCTTAGCCAAATAGACCAACACAGAGCTGTTGCACCCATCAAAAGCAGATTCCTCATGTCTTACTAACATATGCTATTGGCATTATTGTTTAGGCCAAGCTGTTATTACTGCTGCTGAAATGGGGATTTCATTCCCACTGAAACGAAGAGACCAATTGCTGGAGTATGTGCTAACGCTAATGGGAAGAGATCAAAATGATGACCTTGTTGATTTCAGCACTGAGCTTCTGCACACTCAAGTATGTTACTAAGTTTTAACTCTTGCTTTTGCTACCATTTGTCAAAGAAATTCTTCACACTGGCTGAATCCTTTACATCCATAATCCTATCTTTAAACTTGTATTCACACTTAAATACTTCATTTCAGTGAATGTTTATTCTACCTGGATTCCTCTTACATATGTTGATATGCAGAGTCTAGCTTTAAGTGCCTGTACTACTCTGGTTTCGATAGAGCCAAGATTACCTATGGAAACAAGAAACCGTGTGATGAAGGTTTGCATCTTTGCATCACAGTAGTGCAACGCCACAAAAACTTTGCTAATAATTTGACTACTGTAGTTTCAGTTAAACTGCCTTCATATGATTTTCATTTGTTTTTTCTATTTTCAGGCAACACTAGGATTTTTTGCTTTGCCAACTGAGCCCTCAAACATTGTTGAGAGCCTCATAACAAACCTGATTATTTTGTTAGGGGCCATTCTGCTAACTAGGTAATGCTTTAATCTCTTTTTAATTTTATGGTTCCATTTTGGATCGTCTTATTAATAACGTTGCAGTTTGTTAGTTTTTGTCCTGCTACTTGAATGAAATGGCGATGTATCTAGTATTGTTTTTCCTTCTTGTATTGTGAGAACATCTATTTTTCTTGTACACCAAATCTATCTGACTCTTCTCTAATAGAAGTGACGTGGCTTCACCAAAAAGGAGAAATTCAATATTTGTTGCAGTTAGTGGGGACTGTTTGTTTAGATATATAGGATTCCAGGAAATGATGTCCTAAAATTACAAGCAAACCTTGTTGAAAACATTATCCCTAGCCCTGTGACTTACATGGTAACCACAAACACAACTTCAACCAAAGATTTCAACTACAATCCAGATTCACACAATGCTAATCATGCTAAAACAAAGAGCACTCGAAGCAGATAGCTATCTAACAACAAAGCACTATCTCCTCTGCCACCTGATGTTTATGCTTAGCTGTACAAACCAAACTCGTCTTTCACCTGACTTTTGACATTTCATTAGAAGAGTTCTGCAATAACGTGTCTCCATCTAGTATTTTGAGATATTTCCTAATATCTCAAGTGCAATGTTTACTTTTGATTAGTGTTCAAATGATTTTACTCATTAACTCTTCCTATGTTTGTTCTTTTCCTTGGCAGTGGTGAAGATGGTAGAAGTCGAGCAGAGCAGCTCCTGCATATTCTTAGGCAGCTTGATCCATATGTTTCATCTTCTGCCGAACACCAGAGAAGAAGAGGGTGTGCTGCTGTAAATGAGGTGTTAGTTAAGTTCCGCAATCTCTGTTCTGGTGGATTTGGTGTGTTGGGTTCTTATCCAACATTCACACTGAACAAACAAATTGATCAGGCAGCCCCTAGGAGCTTGTCAAGTTTGCCATGTATGTTGATTTTTTTCTAATATTACTAGTGTGACTGTTTGATATTTGTGATCCAGTAGCATTAAAAAAATGTCTCCTATGTTATCACCAGCTGCATTTGTGTTGCCTACCCGAGATTCCTTAAGCTTGGGAGAGAGAATAATGGCATATCTTCCTCGCTGTGCCGATACAGATGCTGAAGTCAGGAAAGTTGCTATTCAGGTTTGTGTGGAAGTAGCTGATCCTGGTAGCAGAACTTTCCTTTTGGCTGTTAAAACTCTATTTCATGCGTAGTGTGCCTTTTTTCAAGCTCTGAATTGCAACATGTCACTTGGAATGAAATTGTGACATTAATTTCCTAATTGTTCTGACGGTGCAACATAGCATAGTACTTATATAATTCTTTTGGAAAATAGTAATGCTATTCAGTTGGTAGCACAAGCACACACACCATATAACTGAACTGTTAAGGTTATATTTACCCGTTGAAACTGAGTTCATAAATTTATTCCCTGCTTTTCTTGTTGCAGATACTTGCACTTTTCTTCAACATTGCATTGTCACTTCCAAAGAAGAAGGCGTCTGTGAACGACATTGATCTGGAGTCTTCATACAGCGCTTTATCCTCCCTAGAGGACATAGTCTCTATCATTAGAAGAGTGGGCGTGCTATCTTAGTTTGGTTTCTGTTAAAGTGTGTTCTGTCAACAACTTCTGATTTATTTTGTTTGCTGTTCTCAGGAGGCATCAATTGACCAGGCCGAAGTATTTCACAGGGTTGTCTCCTCTCTGTGCGTCCTATTATCGAAAGATGAGGTAACCTCTCTGAGCAGATTTGATATTGAAATTGAAGAGGGAGATAAAATAACAATTACAATTTTCTGTGTACATATATAGCTTGTTGTCTTGCTACACTCCTGTACATTAGCAGCATGTGATAAAGTAAAGCAATCATCAGATGGTTCAATTCAAGCTATTATCATGTTTATTATCAGAAGAGGCAAGGAGCTACGTGAAGCTGACGTATTGAGGTTAGTAACTAAGTAGGAAATTAGCTCAGAAGATTACAAAATAAGGAAAGAACAGTTTGTAATAGATTGTCTCAGCTTGATGACACTAGAACACATTAATATTGGAAAATAACCCTGCTAACTGGAATATAGCAAATAGGGCCTTAATTACACATTTTTTGGAGTAACACTGACCCTTTTTGAGAAGGGAAACATAGTGCATTGAGCTTTTTCTTGAAAGAATTGAATATTTCTAATATCCTATTGCTGATGTTATAGGACAACACAATCTTTGCTGTCGTCTGCAGTCTCGCTTACCAACAAGGAGTCACGCCGAGAAGTTCTCAATGCTGTATCCATGATCGATTTATTATTGCATCTATGGTTCATTTTTTTCAATCTCAATATTCTTGTCTAGGATTACACCCTGAGTTGTTTTTTCCCTTGACTGATAATAGATATCGTGCTTAGCAGAAAACACCAATCACACCGTCGTGTTTAATGAAGTTCTATTTGTGGCTGGGCGGGATATTTGTACAAAGGACATAGCAAGAATTCGTGGTGGCTGGGCTATACAGGATGTTTTTCATGTAAGTTGGGCAGAGGCTGGGCACTTCCATTATGTGATTCTAGTCACTTGCATTAGGAACATTCAAATTTAAAATATATATTTAATAGATGCATGCATATATTGCTTTATATGAATGATGTTTGCATAAGTGGCTGCTAGTCCTGCTCATGACCCAGTTTGTTTTGGTAGCTTTTAGGAGAATTCTTGTAAAGTTAATTAAGCATATATATTATTATAATCAGGATTAGTCAGATAAGAGTAAAATTTTTCATACTTTTATCCATAACGATGAATTTCTCGGGGGAAAATGATGCATGGTTCACTGGGCTAGATCTCCTATTCTGAAATGGGTGCTATATCCCTCCTTTGAGTTTTTTAAAGAAAAAACATGCCATATGGTAGAAATGTTGTCTCAAAACTCTAGCACTGCCTTTATATAGTTTAATTGAAAAAAGTTAGATAAGTGCGAGCATTCTACGTGGTTGCACTGTTAGAAAACACTTGCAGGACTAATGTGTTAAACCAGGATCTATATGTTTCATCTGCATCTGAATAGATTATTTGTCATGGTCCACTGTTGCCTATAATAGACCACGTATCATAGCGGCAATGGATGGTAGTTCACCTAGACTCATTTGCCTAATAAATTATTCCATACTTCAAAATGGCTAGTTAAATTCTAGAGCTACACTTCCTAATTATGTTTTTGACTGTATGCCCTTGAATTCAGGCATTCTCCCAGCATAAGGTGCTAGCTATTCTTTTTCTGGAGTACATTTTGTCTATACTTCACAAGGAACCTGTGGCAACAAATGATTCAGAAAAGGGGGAGATCACCTCTGAGTCATCAGCTGATGACTGTATTCTACAAGCAACTATGTTTGCTCTAAATGCATTTCTGAGGTACTGGCTTCCATTTGATGGTTGACTAATGGTGGACAATTGGTCTTCTTTTGATATGCTAAGTTTATGTTCTTGAAAACAATGGGGATTTACAGGGGTGGTGGAAAGATTGGGAAACAAGCAGTTGAACAAAGTTACCCTTCTGTTCTTTCTGCCCTTATACTGAAGCTGGGAAGTCTTCATGGTCTTGCTGAATTGGGCCGGAATGAACTTCTACGGTGAATATGGGACTTTTTTTTTGGAATCTCTTAATATGTAGGCTGCATATGAATTGATGATATATTTTTTTATGATCTGCAGATCATTATTAATTGCGTTTCAGTCATTTTGTGACTGTGTTGGTGATATTGAGATGGGAAAGGTGCTTTGCTTAATGTCTATTCCTTGCCAAACATCTGAAACAACTTTTTGATTGTGTAAAATCCTTGCCTCTCCATAGATATTAGCCCGTGATGGCGAACAAACTGAGAAGGAGAAGTGGATTGATCTTGTTCAGGAGGTTGCATGCAGTTCCTCAGTAAAGAGGCCCAAAGAGGTAACCTCTAGTATTTTCTTACTACTAGTACATTCTGAGACCTAGTAGAAAGCATATATTAAGCTATCTTATTACTAGTAAGAGCCTAAGAGGAAATCAAGACTAAAGAAAGTACTTTGATTATGAACTTCGCTGTTTACATTCAAATAAAAAAGGCATGGTTTGGCAGTCAATGATCTTTAGTTTTGATGCATTTGATGTTTTATGAAATCATTGTACTAAAGTTATTGATAATATTATCATAGGTTTTGCCAACTTGCAGCATCTTAAGCAAAGCTCTCAACAAAAACCAGAGGGCTGAAAGGGAGGCTGCAGCAGCCGCACTGTCAGAATATATTAGACACAGGTAACAAATTAGCCTTCAATAAGTAAGTCTGTAGATAGAAAAGCAGTGCTGGAACCTTTAGCTTCTGATGCATAGTTAGAATCTTAGGTCAATTTCCCGTAGGATGTCAGCTAGCTATTGGTGATTACTGGTTTTCTCTGATTAAGGTTGTTGTTCCCCAAAAAGCAGGGAAGGGAGACCCATAGAAATATAATCCTGTTCTTTACATTGAAAGCAAATATTCTAGACACTATCATTCTCTGATTCTTAGGTAGATAACATAGAAGCTGGAATATATAAATGGAACCTGAATGTAACTCTTAATTTTTATTAAGAAAAGGTTAATCCTGCATGGGTGGGAATGGAACTGAGAACCTCACACATGCGCATCCAAACTCCAGGCCCCTAAACATTTTTAAGACTTTTGGGCATTCTGGGTTAAAATTTTCCAACTAAGGGCCAAAAGGTACTATTCTCGAGAAAAACTATGCTCATAAAGTTGTATTCATAGTTTATCTGTTATCCATGGTCAAATTATTTTAGTTTCAACTAATTCTATTGAATATGCCCACAATCTGCATTATAATTTGTGAATATGCCCACTACCTGTATTGGCACATATACACTTTTATCATACATGAACTTGTCGTTCACTTTTTTTTTTGATTTTTTTTACTGTGCAGTGAAAAAGAACCTATATTGCTTGACCAAATGGTTCTGGAGTTGTGTCAACATGTCTCTGATGACTCGCCAACTGTCAGGAGTCTCTGCCTACGTGGGCTTGTGCAGGTCATCAATCTAACCATAGCAATTTTCTTAGGATACATTTTCTCTTCCTTACATATTGTTGGACTCTTTGACTAACATAGATGGGTAATATTGTTTGACTAACAATTTTGAAGATGCTTATAATGTTTATCTTTCACAAATCACAATCATACATCATATTAGCATATTGCCTGTGTGTTGTAACAGAATTTTAAAAAAGACCCTACTCATCAATCCGTTTTTGCTATCACTTTCTACATATCTCCTCTATTGATAGGTGGGCCATTTGACCCCAGAGTGTACTGTTTTCTTTTTTCTTTTTTCTTCACAAAATGTAGGGAGTTGGTTGGGGGGGGGGGGGGCAGATTCACCACTCACCTCCACCATTTGCTTCTTTCAAAGTAGTATATATTATCTTTATGTGCAGAACATATCCTGCATTTCCTTCTCAATCTTGTTTTGTGATGTGCATATTTTTCTTGCTAGCTGAGTAGTTCATGATTCAATTGATGCCTTTTGTGATATTATTTATTGGGCGCTGAACCTAATTTATCTTTTGTATCATCTCTTTCAGATACCTGAGAGCTGTATTCCTAAATACATCCAGCAAGTCTTAGGGGTAATATTAGCATTACTTGAAGACACCAAGGAGTCTGTTCAATTAACTGCTGTCCAGTGCTTGTTAACTGTGAGTTCTTCAATTGATTACAATGCAAATTGCCTCCATTTCCATTTATTTTCCAATTTGACTGAATAATTGAATGCCAATATGCCATGAACCACTTTCAGGTTCTTAATGTGTCAGAACAAGATGCCATTGACCCAGTTTTAATCAATCTTTTAGTAAGGCTACGCAATCTCCAGGTAATCATTTATGACAAGCATACTGACATGCTCGCATGCATTACTGTTTAATGGCATTATGCAGAACGATTTGCATTACTTTACCATGCTTATTATGGAACATGTGGGGTGCATGGCTTATGAGTTACAGAGGGTTACTTTGGAATTTATTTTGCATATGGGATTTTAAGAGACATACTAATTGCAAAGTGCACATGTTAGCAAGTTCACTGTCCGGGATATATCCTCGGTAAATTTTGAAGATGTATGCACTGTCTCCATGCTGCCTAAGCTCGACATCGTCATGTAGTTGTAATCATCTTTGTACTTTATTTTTCTCCCAAAGCTTAATGAAATTGGTCGGTCGTCCTTTTGGCCGACCCGGCAAAAATGCACTATCTCATACAGGAATGTTCAACCCAAATAAATAATGAAATAAATAAATAAATCAAACTCTCATTTTGTGCCAGTGTATTTTGATCACTTGAACCTTTATATTGCATTATTTCTTTTATCTGTTGGCATTTTCCTCGTGAATTCCCAGATTGTTTGTTTTAATTTCATCGTTCTTTTCAGTTTTCACCGTAGTGTTTCAATTATTTATCTCCAAATGTTAGAAGCTGGTGGCAGTAACAAAGCTACGGTTGCAAACTTTTCTGTTGCTTTTTTTGCTTCAGGTTTCGATGAATACGAAAATGAGGTCCAATGCGTTTGCAGTTTATGGTGCTTTAAGTGCCTATGGTGTAGGTTCACAGCAGTTTCTTGAGCAGGTAGTAGCATGCAAAGTCAGCTTTTAGTGTGTTATTAGCAGTGCGCTGCTATCTTGCAAGCCATCTTATAGGGCACTGCTGTAATGGTTGCAGGAAGTGCTAAGTAGTTTTGGATTATTTTCTTATGTTATGTGTGTTAATCTGTTAACAAATTCGTTGCCCCTGTTGCAGATTCATGCCACTCTTCCTCGCTTGATCCTCCATCTTCACGATGATGACCTAAGCGTTCGCCTTGCCTGTCGGGTAGGTAGTCATTACAAATCAGACAAATTAATACTTCCTCCGTTTCACAATATAAGACTTTTTAGCATTGCCCACATTCATTTAAATGTTAATGAATCTAGACATATATATGTGTTTAGATTCATTAGCATCTATATGTATGTGGGCAATGCTAGAAAGTCTTACATTGTAAAACGGAGGGAGTACTTTGTTTTCCCTTGGCTTTGCCTGTTGTGTAGGTATTCTTTACTTATTATTTTGTTTTCCCTTGCTACACAGTTGCTTTAACTTGAATTATATTCCCCCCCCCTCAAAACAGAATACGTTCCAACTCCTAGCGCCTTTGATGGAAGTAGATGGTTTGTCTTCACTCCTCAGCAAAAAATATTTCACCTCTGATCGCCGGTTTGTGTTGAACAATTTGCTAGCCATTTCTACTGGGATTTGATATTTTAGTTACGAGTGAAATTTTTACTTGTTCTAATGTGCTTTGTCTACAGTTCGGATTATGAGGACTTCATTAGGGACTTAACAAGGCAACTCTGTCGACTATCTCCTGCCAGAGTCGACAGCTACTTTGAATCTGCTATCCAGGTACCGTCTTCTTGTAGTCATAGCCTGCGCTTTGTGAAGTATGCCAACACTGATTTTGTTTGTTTCAGGCGTTTGATGCACCTTGGCCAGTCATCAAAGCAAATGCAGTTTGCTTGGTGAGCTGCATGCTATCCTTTTTAGATGATCAACGGTTCCTCGCTCCTTACTTCTCCCAGGTATCCTTACTGGATTCTGGTAGTTCACTTGTTTAGAACATTTCATGTTTAAGGTATTAACACAATTTTATGTCGAAGGTGTTTGCTATTTTGGTCGGTAGACTGAGCCAATCACCAGATGCAGTTGTTCGAGCAGCATCATCTTCTGCACTGGGCCTTCTGATAAAGAGGTCTAACGTGGTTAAGACGTTGACTCCGAAATTTGATCGGGCTGATTCATCCCAGAATTTTCAACATGGAGATACTCGTACGAAAACATCATCCGAGCCTCAACAGGAGACTATAGATATGCCAAACGATACACAACGAGAGCCATAAAGATGGTCAAAACCAATCTCTGCTAGATGTAACTCTGTAAATCGTGTATGTACGGTTTAGTCGTGCATGTGCATGACTGTAGATAATAGAAGAGTTTTTGTGTAGGACATGCCAATAGGCTTTCGGTAGCGAGTGGCGGCTGTACAGAAATCCGTCACGTTCGTTGATTGTTATTTCTTTTATTGATTGAATTCGCTCAGCAGTAAGCATGTAAAAAGATACCTCAGTGTCTTGTGTGGGTGATATGTGTGGATCAGTGGATGGATCGACATGCTTGTTCGCGACGAATAACTACAAAATTTAGTGCCACCGTGAGGCTAGCATTAAGAGCAAGTTCAATAGTATAGTCCACTACCAGTTCCAATTCATCTATAGCTAATCTAATAGCTAATTTATATAATAGTTGCTTACTATACTATTAATATATGGTCCCACCTGTCATACACACCTTTCGTATTGGAGTCCGTACTGGAGCTGGCTATAAATCTATAGCCCGCTGCTCATCTCTCTCATCCTTTATCTTATTAAAATATGTTTATAACTGGCTTGCCATTGTACTTGCTCTTAGGTTATCTGAATTCATTCCGCGTGGAAGGCTCCTATGGGTACTGTACTCCTGGAGGCGTGCTTGTCTCCTGGATTTTTCACATTTTGGTCCTTTTAAAAAACTTATTTCGCAAATAGACCCCTGAAAAAACTTATCCCAGAAATGGTCCTTTTTGGGGCGCCAGAGTGGTTGGCGCCGTCATCCAACGGGACGGCGCCAGCCTCTCCTCCTGCCACCGTGGCGCACTCGACCGCCCCAGGGAGGAGGGCGCCAGCCATGCTGGCGCCGCCGCCTCCATTCCTGTTTCTCTGTATGGAGTTGCAACGGTGTCATTTTTATTTTATTTTTTTGGATGTTTTTTTACACTCAGGATCCAGCATGGCTGGCGCCGCCCCAGGGAGGAGGGCGCCAGCCATGCTGGCGCCGCCGCCTCCATTCCTGTTTCTCTGTATGGAGTTGCAACGGTGTCATTTTTATTTTATTTTTTTGGATGTTTTTTTACACTCAGGATCACGATACAACCAACCACAAAAAAAATTTAAACTCGAACTACCACTTAGCTAAGTTTAAAAATATCTAGTATACCACTTAGTCTACTTTGCACCTTCACTAAAATTAGACCATAACTCCTTTAGTAAAACCCTTTGATCAGGATGTTAAACATAATGCACTCTACCACTATATGAAATTACTTAATCTAATTTAAAATATAACCACATGAAATGACATATATATAAGTTAAACAGTACATAGAGATGTAATTTTTTTTATTTTTATTTTATTTATTTGATATTTTTTCACACTTAGGAGAACATAGGAACCAACCGTATAAAAAATAAACTCAAACGGACAAAATATGTGACATGTAGAATTTTCCAAAACTCTATCAAAACGGATAAAATATGTCATCTATTAAAATAGGTGTAACTTTCTCATACGGACTCGGAATCAGGCAAATAATATATGCACGGACATCTACAGAAAAAGTTACATTCGATTCTCCCCTCTTTGCCGGGTTAGGCGATATTAAAACCTTCAAATTCTGCTTGCAAGATTGTGTTTTCGAGGAGAGAAGTTTTTCGGTGGAGCTTTGGAAAATTCCACATGCCACATATTTCGTCCGTTTGAGTTTATTTTTTACATGGTTGGTTCCTGTGAGTTCCTAAGTGTGAAAAAAATATCAAAAAAATAAAATAAAAATAAAAAAGTTGCACATCTCTCTCCTCTGCACTAGTTCGGAGAGAGGAGAGGAGAGGAAAAATTCTATATGTCACATATTACGTCCATTTGAGTTCAATTTTTCTATGGTTGATTCTTGTGTGTCCCTAAGCGTGAAAAAAATATCAAACAAATAAAACAAAAATAAAAAATTTCGGGGGGAGGGCGCCAGCCACTGGGGGGCGCCAGTCACTCTGGCGCACTCCCCCTAGCCACCTCAGCATCGCCCCGCCACGTCGGCAGGGGGACGGCGCCAAAGAGGCTGGCGCGGCAGCCACTCTGGCGCCTCAAAAAGGACCATTTTTGGGATAAATTTTTCTAGGGGTCTATTTGCGAAATAAGTTTTTTAAAAGGACCAAAATGTGAAAAATCCAGTACTTGTCTCCGTGTACATCGCGTAGCTCTAGCACCTCCCTGTTCCCACCAAGTCCGACGGCGCGACGCTGCGAAGGTTGACGTGCGGGTGTGTGCCGGTGGACGCGTATCGCCTCCTACCGAGGCGACGCAGCGAAGATTGGTGAAGCGCGTGGAGGACAGCTTCAAACAAAACTCACACAAGCAAACTAAAATGAAGCTCACACAAGCTCAGGGGTATATTTTGTTCAAAATAAAAAAATGAAATGCACCAGCCGGGAATCGAACCCGGGTCTGTACCGTGGCAGGGTACTATTCTACCACTAGACCACTGGTGCTTGCTTGTTGAAATTTTTCTAAGAATTTATATATCAGCAGCATCGTTCATCAATCAAGGCACTACTCATAAAATTCAGTATCACTTCAAAATCAATCATGGGTTCAGATATCACTAGGCTCAAGTTCTGAGTTACCCCTAAACCAGCCCAGTTCTACCCTGTAATGGTCTATATATGGGGGGCATACGACTATGCTATACACACTACCAAGGCTACCAAGTACCCAGCTAGTATTTCTAAATGATAAAGGTAAGCAATATGCACTGACACATGTCGACAACCTAACTGCAAAAACACAAATTTGCTGATACACATGCTCCATTCATAGCAAGTGGAGTACACCTTGACTACCCCAAAAGGAAGCACATAGTATATCAGAAAGCACTCAAGCCAAACTGTAGTTCCACACTGACCCCCCATGACACTGAAAGTCTGAACCATATTAGTTTTAGAGCCTAGACTGACACCACCACCATCTCACAAGTGATCTCACGGATCATATTTGTCACACCTTGGCGAGCAAAGAGCAGGAGGAGGTTGACGATGACAACACAAAGCTGCTGCCCCCTTCTCCCCCTTGTGATCGAGTTGTGGTTGTGACATTGAAGAGACGAGCACCCAAAAGAGGAGCAAGAAATTGAAGTTCGCACTAGTCGCGGAGTACCTCAGCTCGGATATCCTCAAGATGCCGCTGGGGAAAGAGCCTAGCTCATGTGGACGCCGAGGGAAAGTGCAACAAAAGAGAGAAAGCCACGCCAAAGTTGGTGGCATCACCAGCCTCGAAACTCGAAAGCGCTAATGCTCGCCGCATATCCTTTGGTAGATACCGTTCCCTCTTCTCCTGCACATCTCCCTGAAGATTGCGTAGTTGCTCCCTGAACTACACCATAATTGCAGAGATAAGCAAAGCTTAATTGCGTCTTCAAGTATTTGCTTTGCTCTAACTGATGATCTGTGCACTTGGTTTATGCTAATGTTACTCTGCAAACAGGCTCAGAGCTGCTTCTTTCAGCTCAACTATTTTTTGCTCTGTTCTACTGGTATGCACTCTGTACTACATACAAGTAATACGTGTGCAAGAATTATTACAGACATGGCTCATGAGGGTGAATTCACTGAATTGTAATCATTGAGAGTATTGTGGAGCAGGTTTCAGTTAATGGAAAGCTAATGTCTGTTGATGCAAAATTGCACTGATTTAGGTACAAAAGGCACTTTTAACTAAAGAAATGATTTCCTGCAGAAAGCCCCTCAAATCTCAAAGAGGCACCAATACTTCCAAATAAAAGCACCCAATGGGAGCTTCCTCTTCTCCCCCCTCTTAAGCCCACGTATGCTCAAGGGCAGGGCACACTCCACATTATCCATGCATATGCATCATGTAATCCACAAGATCTTCTTAGCTTATGTCATGCGATAACTACCATCATCTTGTTCTTAATTTTGGAGTGTGTCCGTGCAATGGGTGGCCGTGCTTCACACGCCTATAGAGCGTGGGCTAATGGTGGCCATGGAGGCTAGCTAAGCTACTTCTTCTTGGGGAGGAATGGCTATGCATGGCCTCCATAGTCGACGACTTTTACCTCTACTAAGGTAGGGCAACTTGTATCCTTTGGCAATTATTCGGTGGATGTCTGTTGGTGGTGGTGTTAGGGATTGGAGCCGGATGAATCTTGAGTTTGATCTTGGCTGTATGATGTTAGACATAAAGAGGATGGTGAAATGGTATATGGATGTACGATGTTTGTGTTTCGGTCCTTGCTCTAATAATCAGTTGTTCTTAGTGTTTTGTTTTTTTTTTGCCCTCTTTGTTAAATTGTAACCACCCTACATATATGTACTAGTATCACCAATAAAGTGATGAATTTGATATTAGTAATTAAGATTGTGTGTGCAAAATCTGTGTTGATTCTTCCATCGATAAACACGTCCATCATTCATGTATGATCTTCAATTCCCCGAGTTGTGTTGTCTACTATGAGCATGCAGTATATACCAGGCAGCAGCCGTAGTCCGAATCAGAAGGTGTTCGTGCCGGCCAAACGTCCACAGATTAGCTGTTCCTATTATGGGTAGTTTTATCAGTCTTAATAAGGTACAGAGATATTTCTAGTGTGAAACTTGGGTATCTCTAGTTACTTCTTGGTATCTCGATGTATGAAATTTTACAGTTCTTGAAAAATTATCTCGAGTTACCTAAATTTTACACTAAAATTTTTGATACCTAAGGTATTAAATTTTACACTAGAAAATATGGTATTTCTAAGTACTTTTTCAAACATGGTAAAATTACCCTCCTCTTAATATAGCATTAGCAAATGATGGCTTGGTTTAAAAAAATCTCTCTCTTAATCCCTTTGTTCCAAAATATAAGTTTGGTTGGATATGTGACATATCATAGTATTATGAAGCTGGACAGAAACTAACTTATTCAGATCAGTAGTCCTATGATATGTCACATTGTCAATTAGAATTATTTCAAGTTGTGGGGAGTAGATCCCATCCCGGAGGTCATCGAGCACCTCTGACCTCTCAAACTCGTGCCACTCCCGCTGATGTGGGACTACCTCCAAGCCCCCAATCACCTGCTCGTCGTCGTCTTCAACGACGTGCCCGTCGATCAGGTGCACCCGTCTCAACCTTGGCGACGCCTTCATGACATGCTTAACAAAGCCGATCTGCCACCCCACTGCACTGAAGCCGACGATGGTGAGATCCTTCAGGCGATGGTACAGATGCTGTTGTGCTTGCACCTCTAGCCAAGAAGCCATCTTTACCGACCCATTGTCAATCTGCATTTAGGTTTCAGAGTTCATGTGAATTCACAGATATATTCCATTCCGTAAAAAAAAACAGATATATT